AGACCTTAAGAACTTTGCAGTATTAATAATGTTCTGCCAGTGTTAGGCCTCATGGTGCATCAAGTCCAGCTACACATTTTGTTTCATGTAAATGTTTGAAAGGAGACATTTGTTTTAATGCCAAAGGATTTTTATTATCCTTTGGCAAAAAATTGGATTTATATCCAAAAACAGCACAGAACTAATCATTTCCAAAAAACAATAAAACCCAAAAGGGAGAAAACAGTTCAAGAAGTAATTTACACCGAAACATTGCATTAACTCAAGACTTTTTGTAGTCTTGACAGCAAATCACACTGAAGATCTATAGTTTATCTACTCTAAAATAACAAAGCTTTGCTTTAAGTGGCAGCATTTAGTTTTCCTCCTTGTAACCACTGGTATATTGCAGCTCGGATCTAAGATTAAAGTTCATAAGGATGTTGAAGAACACTTATCCACAGATCAATAGTGTTTCTGCCTCTGATCCTGCCTTTGTGTCCCAGTGGTGCCTGGTCAGCTCACTGATGTTCACTGTGCCTCATTAGTATGCAAGACACCAAGCGGCAGGGCGCCTTGCTGCTTTGTCCTACTGCTATTAAGTCAAGATAGAAAATGTGATTCATTCCTTTTGTTACAAACTGCACCAAAGTATCCTTCGCTTTTTGGTTAAATTACTAAGAGCAAGAAGGTTAGTACAAAGGTTGATTGAAATGCAGAGCCGAAATCTGAAGCTTGTACTTAAGTCTTTTTTTTTCAAATCTGACATAAGTGCTGCTCAATCGCAAAAAGTAACTGTGACTTAGCAAATAATTTAACGTAGTGTTTATGTGAGAGGAAATCTGTGATCACAAGTTTATTATTCTTTATGAATGGATTTTCCGAATGCTTTTCATACCTCTATGTCTAAAAGTGCTAAACAAAGAATAACCCCCCTGGATCTTTGTTGTTGTTTCAGAACTACCAATATGGATGTGGGTCATTAATAATTCTCATCCTCACTTGCCCCAGAAAGTACAGACACACACATTAATTTGTGTAACACTGAGTAATATGGGATGCTTGTGAAGCAAAACAGAAAGAGAAAACAGGAGACAAGGTTCTTCATGTGACAGTTTCACAGGTGTACCACTGACCTTTGAGACAAAAAAAAAGGAATCTAAGCTACTTTATGTGTGTATCATAGAGAGTCAGTGAGAGAATGCAGCGTGTGCGTGTCTATTTCTGCTGCCTGACTGGTCAGCAGGTCTGTCCTGGTGAGTCAGGGTGGATGTCGTGACAGTGACATATAGACACACTGACGGAGGAGTTGGAGGGTCAACCCACTGCATCCTGGGAACAGTCTGGTCAGTGCACAGCTTGGCAAAACGAAGCATGATCAGTTCAGACGGGGTTCTGGTGGTTGAACTGCAGCCCATACATCAGTGTTATGCAGAGATATATAGAGGATGTACAGCAAAGTCATGGGGCCAAATGTCACGTGATGAATTGCACCATGTAGGATGTCAAACTTTTGATTTACCCAGATTTGTAATAAATAACGCAATGGCATGCTGGAGGTGTACTGGTGAGAATGATACTTTGATGCATGTGCTCTGTAGCTGGTCTAGTGAAATAACCTCAATTGTGATCAGATGCATTTTCTGCAAATTAACCTAGAAGACTTAAAGACATTGTGACTCCATCTGTGTCCAGATTCAGTTAGTATTTACTTTACTAATATATTTATGAGTGTATGATAACTAGACTTTTTGTGCTGTATTTATGATGTTTGTTTCATTTCATTCATAAGCAGTTGTATATGTATTCATTTGTTAACACATTTTTCAATATTTATTTCTCAAGGTTTGCTTTACTATGGATAATACCGCGTATGCCCCCACACTGCCATAGCTACAACAAGCTTTTATCTACTCTGTGTGCTTGATGTAGGTTTTAATTGTGTCCTGACTAATTTGGAGAAATGAAAATGAACTAATCATAAAATAGCAATATAATGGTAAACGTAAAGATGACAGATTGTTCAAATCAAACTTATGTTTGACAAGCAGGCTTTTACAAATATGAAGGATCTGTAAAATAATGCTTCTCTTGTAAAGAACTACCAAAGTTTTTTTTTTTTTTTGGATAGTACAAGGGGCACTTCAGGAATGGTCTTTATCTGGACACCAATGGTAGACAAATCCATAAGCAGGACTAAGGTTGCAAAGGTCATTAAAAACGCTCCCTATAGCTGCAGTGCACCAGAACTGTTATCTGTTTTCATAGCATTGTACAAGAATGTCATGTAAATTGCAAATTCAGTGCCAAAGAGGATATTATGATGTTCTTAGAGAGACAGGCTGTAGACTGACTGGAAGGAAGCGAACATTAGAGGCAAAATGACTGCAGAGTAAACCAAAACAGTTTCAGAGGGAGGCATAACTCAACAAGAACGGATTACGCATATTTCAACCAGTGTGACAGATTCCAGCATGTCCTGGAGTTACTATTTATGAATGTAATTTATAAGCGTCCAGAAAAAAAATAAATAAAAAACAGAAAAGAAAACAGAGTTGAATAACTGAAAAAGTGGAGTTTGAAGCAGAGCTCTACATGGAGAAGGTGGTTTATTTGTTTAGGAGGATCTGTGCCTCAAGCCACCAAGAGGCTCAGATATATAACATAACATGTTTCACTTATTAAATTAACTTTTAATTAATATTCTAATTTATTGAATATGACTGCGTTTGCCTTATAAGAGTGTTACCTCTTGATGGGGAGACTCCTGCGAATAACTGTGATTTGATGTTGACAGCATGATGGGGGAGCAGCTCATGTCTCAACTATCCTGACAATTTTAAAGTTTGTCATCAGAAGAATTTCTGTTGAGATCTGACTTGAAGTAAAACCAGATTTTATCGCCATTTTTAATTATTCATTATTAGACGCATCATCAGTAAAAAGTATTTCTAAATGTGGTTTTGTGCCATTCTGCAATGGAGCATAGCGATCAGTGTTTCACAATAGTTCTACACTGCTGTTTTTCTCACCCATCTTTTTAATTTTCTCTTTCTCACATATCAGTTTCCAGTTTTTCTGACTGTGCAGTTTCACTTATGAGAACACACTGTCTCTTTCAAAGGACAAAACGGGACATTACTGAATGTCCTTTACCTTTGCTGAAACTGAAGACGTATCAACTTTGTAAAAAAATAAAATAAAATAAAGAAAACACTGTGCACTCATGAGGCAAGAGCTAATACCAAACTAAAATAGGGAAAGAGAAAATATTAAAACTGTTAAAAAATTATTTAAAAATCACATTTAGTCCCTGCCTCATCTAGTCAAAGCTCCATTTACAAATATATTTCACTCAAAATTTGTTAATTTAGCCACGCCAGAAGGTTTTTTAGCATTGATGAGCTGCTTAAGGTCATTCCATATAAGCTCAAACAGATTTAAATCCACGTCTGTGCAAGACTGCACCTGTTATGTCCTGGTTTGTTTTCAGTTGTTTCTGAGGTTTGCTTATTCTGTGTTCCTTAGTCTTATTCTTTGATCAAATCAGTCTTGTTTCTGTGTTATTTTTGTTCAGTCCTTAGTGTTTCTAGTTATTTTTATTTCATGTCTCTCACCCTAGTTTAATTGTTTCTTAAGCCAAGTTATTCATTAGTGTTAGATCCATTTCCCAGTACTCTCTTTCGCCCCCTGTGCCATTTCTCTCTCTCTTTCTTCAGGCTGCATTTTGTTAGCTCATCACCTTTTGTTCCAGCTTTCATCCTCACAGTATTTAAACCCGTTTTCTATTCACACTCTTTGCTGGTTACTCCTTTTATGCAATGTTATTTTCTCTTTTTCTTTCACATGTTCCCTGGTGGCTTTTTCATTGGATTTATGGTGTTGTTGTTTTTTTTGTTCTACTCTGGCTACTTGTGTTTTTTGTAAGTTAGCATTTGGGTCCACCATCAAACATACATCATGACATCACCATTTTTTTTTTCTGTTTTGAGTCATTCAGAATCTGATGTGCTTTGGATCTTTGTCCCATGCAGAATCAAAATACACTGAGGCTGAACGTCAAAAACTCAAGGTCTGAATTTTCTGTCTGAAAGCATAATTCAAACAGAAAGAGCCTTCGATTAAGGAACATTTTATTTCTGAGGTCAGATTTAAAAAGGAGCTTTTGTCCAAACTGGGAAAATAAATATTAGTGAAAAAATTTTATATTTTGCTTTCAGATTTTATTTTAATTGGATGACACCATTATTATCCGCTTCTGCTTCCACTGAGCTTTTAAGCTCAAAGAATAACCAGATAGCACAAGCGTCAGATAACTGTACTGCATTTATTGCATGACAAGCACTTCCTCTTCTCATCCACCTGCCTCCACCTTATCTCAGTGTTTTGCAGGTCCTTTAGTGGAGCAGAAATTTCTTAGAGCCTTCGCAGATGGCTGCAGCCTTGATATGAATATTTGATAGCCCTTATATATCTCCCTTGAGGGCTGTGAAATATTAAAGCACTTTCTGGTGGCCATTTAGTTTTCTCAGGCATTCAAGATAAATAACAAAATAATTAGACATCACATTGAGGTATGAAAGAAAAAGTTTAAATGAATTTACTTGTGTTTTTGAAGCGTTTTCAATTTTCTCTGAATTGTGTAAAATTGCATGAGTGCAGACGAGGCTAAGATGAGCCAGTCAGATGATGTTTGTCACCATTTTGCTCTTATTAGAGGAACACAAGTACAACAAGGTGCTATTAGCTGTTAGTTGGAATTATATGAATAGTTAAAATCTGAATAAATATTTTAATATTTTTGGGGGGTTTGCTATAATTACCATGTCGACTGTAGTTTTAGAACAGTGTTACCAAAACAAGAGCCAAAATATTTTTATATGTGTGTGTGTTTGATTAAAAAGACTTTGAACAATTGACATAATGACTCAGAGAGTTTCGAAAAATTTGGTCAGTCTTGGCTTCTTTGAAAACACTCTTGTAAGCACAGTTTATGAATTTCTTCAAATGTTTATTTTCAGCGAGATGCCAAAGGACAGTACCTGTTTGACCTCATCTGCCACCACCTCAACCTCCTGGAGAAAGATTACTTTGGCATCAGATATGTCGATCCAGACAAACAAAGAGTAAGTACTTTTCCATTTTTGTGATTTTTTTTTTCAATTGAAAGGCTGAAAATTATTTTTCAAAAACCTCCTGCTAACAAGCAAATATTTTTTCTCTCTGCATCTTCATTTGCAAAGTCTCTTTCTTATCAATCAAAAAGTCTTATGTCTGTGTGCAAATTGGAAGTGAGCTGCTTGTATTTCAAAAACGTAGCTTTTTTTTACATAAAAAAAGAAACTGTTTCATTTCCTATGTCAGCACGCTGGTGCAGACCTCTAGCTGTGTGTCATTCTATGCTTGGTCTAAACTTGCTTCTGTCTCAATGCAGAGATGCAAGTTACTTTTAGAAGTTACAAGCATCTGTTGATGCTAAATGTGAAAAAGGTTGGTACAGAATCTTTAGCTTCAATAAAAACTGCAACGCATTGACAAAAAATTGCTATTTAATTTGTGGATGACAGATTCAGCCTAATTGTCAGTTCAATCACACATCTACACATGGAGTGAAAAGACATACCTTGGTCATTTCTGACAGTTATTTTATGAAAGATATAAAGAGTCATTTTTATGTGTGTGTGTTTTTATTATTATGTTATTTTTTGCATAATTTTGCTTGTGTTGATGCAAATGACATAACATTTGGCTAAGTTGTGTACTTATGGTCAATTATTTTTTCTTCCCAGTTATTATTTCTATTTAACTGTGTGTTGTCATTACACTTTTATGAGAATTCAATTTGTATTTTTTCTTTTATCTTTAGTTTTATTCCCTGATTTAAAATTCCTTCAAAATGTTCTGTACTGAACTATCCACATAGTGTCTGTTTTGGGTGTAGAAATGGTCCCTTGTAAATATAAATACTTAAATGACTGTAACAGCTTGCTTCCAGTGGCTTAATGACAATTTTTCCACCACATAAACATGCAGGGCAGGTTGGCAGATCTGCAGGTTAATTCTGGATGCCAGACAAAGGTCATATCCTTTGACTGATAGACAAATCAGCCAGAAAAATAAACAGACTTGTGTAAAATTGCAGGGTTGCTGATTATCAGTTAACCGTTTATTGTTGAAATGTGAACAGCTCGTAAGAGCTTGAACTATTTGCGCTCTTAGGCTTCTCTTTGCCTGTTTAAACATCAGTCGGCAAAGATTTAAAGAAAAAAAAAGGCAATCACTAGAATGCTACTCAAGGTATAGCATGTTTGTTTTTTGAAAATAACTCCACGATGCAATACCCTACTGGCTCAGCAGTGTGAAAAGACTGGCTCATCTAACTACTTTTTAGAAAGCTTTCTCTGTATGACCCGCTGTCTGCACACACACCGGTGTTTTAGGAGGTCTTCAGAAACAGAATGCAGGGATCTAAAAGTAATTTTGATGTAGGTTCTAGCTGGCTTAAAAATCACAATCGATTGCTGAGCTATATAATGTAAAGAAAGAAAGTTAGGCATTTAAAGACTCTGTGTTCACTCTATGTTTAAATAGTTCAGCTGTTCTTATTATTTCTTTCTCAATCTTTACAGCACTGGTTGGAGTTTACAAAGTCCATTGCCAAACAAATGAAGTGTAAGTAGATTATTCATGTTTGTATTCTCACATTTTATTTATATCATCATAGGAACAACTGAATAAGGACTGATGAGAGTGATGATTTATAATTCATCCATACAGAAAACACATTTTGAGGTAATGGTAGATTATTTTTTCCTTGTTCTTTCAGCCCAGCCACCTTTCACCATGTGTTTGCGTGTGAAATTTTATCCACCAGACCCTGCTGCTCTGAGAGAGGAAATCACCAGGTAGGATCTGGCATGATTCGCTGTGCAACAATTAGGGGTCAGTGAGGTTAGTTCATCTGTGATGTTTATAAATAACGATTCACAAAATCAATTACAAAGGTTTTTGTCTACCTAGAGGAAACATTTGACCATGAAACAAGAAAAAATGTACTCGTCAAAATCGCAATTTTTGAATCTTAAGTAATCACATTTGACATTTCTTTTGTTTCATGAACAGATTGAAAGTAAAAGCTCGAAAATTCAGTATGTAGTAACAAATGTAAAAAATTAAGGAAATTATAAGACAAATTATTGTCTTGGCTGTATTTAATTTCCTTTCAAAAGGCTTCTCATCATATTTTTAAGACCATTGGTCTTAAAATGTCAAAATGTGCTCATACACCTGGCTTTGAAGTTATATTCTGTCCAACATTCACACTCTCAGGACTCCCTGATGGCTAAATTAAAAGAAAGCTTTCTGTCTTTCAATTTAGCAGAAATTTTGAGAGTTCTTCATTGCTGCTAAGTTTGGGCACATCAAGACAGTCATTTAAGAGTAGTTAAAAGATCCTGAAGACGCTAGAACAAGAAAGTCAAGTGGAAGACCAGGAATAATGTTGCCTGTGTAGAGCTGCAGGATCTAGTGGGGTCCCAGAAGACACAGGCAGATCTTCAATACAAATTAAGACCCTGACTGATGCTGACTGTAGAGAAAAACGCTTAAAGATCAAGACACATCTTCAAAGACCACATATGGCCTTGTGGCTCGCTTAGCTGAATCAGTCGATGTTGAATTAAAAGTAGGTTTAGGTTATAAAAATATTCGTTCAAAAATATTCATTCATCAGATGATGTTTAATCCATCATTTGATGAAGGAAAGATCATAGTGAAGCACAAACATGCAACACTCGGTCATCCATCTATACACATGGATTGGGTAAGGAGAGCCTTAATCAATACACAAGCAAAGATGCTCACAGCTCAGGTGGGAAAATTGGCTGAAACAACAGCTTTTAGTTGAGCAGTTTACAAATTTGGTGCTCTTAAAGAAATGATGAGCAGAAAGTCATTGTTGGGAGAAAGCCACAAAAAAAACAAACTGTTTCTAGTTTGTCGCAAGTCATGGAGAAAAAAACTGCAAATCTGTTTAACAAGAAACTCTGGACAGAAAATTTAAGTGATTTAGATTGAAGTATTTGAATGTTCAAATAGCTGATGTTATTTTTCTAAGAAATTAATTACGAAATAAATTCTGAAAGTCATGGTTTTTCCTTAGATAATTATTCACTATCTTGTGTTAATCCGTCACAAAGAAAAACCTGCAGACTCTATAAATATGTCAGCATTGCCACACATTGCCCTGCTTTTATTACCTATGTTAGAAAGCACTCTATCTGAAGCTTCTGCTTTAACTGCTGTCAGGATCTCTGTTCAAGAACATTGGGATAAGCAGAATGGTAATTTGTTGTTTTTTTTGCCCACTTTAGGAATCAAAAAGCCCTGCATGTCAGCAGAGTAATAGTAAATAATGCATGGTGTTTTGCATACAGACTGTTTCTGGACACTAGGGTGGAATTGTAGGCTTTAACTACATTATGATGTAATTTTGTGAGTTAAAAGTGCAAAAAATCCCACATTTATTACAGATGTATAAAATTAGATTCTAAGAATATCCTAGGAACAGCAAAGTGAGCCTGTGTGCAGTGGATTTAAGTCTTTACATTGTGTAGCGATGTGGCATCTCTGACAGCTAAACAAACTGCTGCGAGGAGTGAGCCAGAGCAATACCGAGTGCACAGATTCCTGCAAAAGCACATCCCTCGACTGGTTGCCACGCAATAAAATCTCTCCCTCACAGTTGAGCTCTTCTTGATGGAGCAGAAGACTGGCGAGGGCAACAGCCCCTCTTTTTCTCCACCCATCTGTTCTGACTGGAGGCTCTCAACGACGTAGGATCATGAAGCTGATAAATGCCACTTTGAATTTTACAGCTGTTTTTGTTTGCTTTTGAAGACATCTACAATACCAACCATGGCCAGTTTTATATTGACATTTATAACTTTCATGGCATGTCAAGTATGTGTTGAGGTGAGCTCCTTGGGAGATACACACACATTACCTTAGTGTGTTGCAGATAATTACCTCAAGTTGCATCATAGATATTCAGGAATTAAAGATTTTTTAAAACCCACAGGGCACACTGGCATCTTTCCAGTTACATTTTCACAGCTCCCCTTTTTATTGCTTTGGCCTTAAGAGATGATGAAGCTCAGGTGAATAAATTAAACTTTGCCAGGAAAAAGAAAAAATTAAAATATGTTGCAGATAGAATCTAAAAGCAGATAATCACCCAGCCTAATTTTAAATCACCATTGACACATATGCTTTGCTTGAATGTTAAGGAAACACAATAGACTTTTGTTTTTTCTCACAATTTCCCATCTTGAAACTCTCTAAGAATATTTTCATTTGAAGTTATAAGTGTATATTGTCTGCAGCAGAGTTTGCATCTAGTCATGATTTAAATCTAGTCGTGTGTTTTCATTTTGCCCCGCAGATATCTAGTCTTCCTGCAGGTTAAGCGGGACCTCTACCACGGCCGTCTACTTTGCAAGACATCAGATGCGGCTCTGCTCGCTGCCTACATATTACAAGGTGTGATAAATTGGTAGAATTGTCAAAAAGCAAGTTTATTTTTAACCTGAAGATCTTAGATTGATGGAGAGCTAAATTCTCCACCCATGTTCCATGCATATATAAAATGAATATATGTAAATGTGTTGAATGTCCTCTGCTGTTAATTAGTTTTATGGTGAACTTGCATAAAAAAACATTATTTTTTAAATTTATAATTACATAAAAACATCCTTCTGGAAAAAACGATAATAAAGTCCCAAGATTCACTCAACCAAAAAAAAAAAAAAGAACTGACTGGTTTTGCTGAAGCTGGAGACAGTCATTATTACAATGCAGACAGACAGAATACATTTAGAAATAGTCACTGACTAACTAACTGTCCTATCAGGATTTTATCCCTCAGCCTTTCTCCAACTCCAATGTTCTCATTGTGTCTAAATAGCAGCTCAAGATGCGTCAATGCAGCTAAAGTTATCAGCCAGTAGTCCCACGTATTTTAGGTAGGAAAGGCTAATAATTATTTACTAGGAATTTTAGCTGAGCAAAAATGGGAAAGACAAAGCAAAATAACTGGTTTTGGTCATTAAATCTGCTCTATGTATTGTTAAAAATATGTTTGATTGTTTCTGAATCTTTTAACACACCATATCACTGGGAAATGCAGAAATCCAGCATTATTTCACATTTGATGCCAGGTGAATAAGTAATTTCGAATCTATCAATTTTCGAATCTATCAACATAACAGTGGGATACTACATATATTTGTATTGGGTCTTTTGTTGTTTTTTCTTAACTTATCATATATTTTAGGTCTGAATTTTGAATCTTATGGGTTACAGCTCCTCAGTATATTAAGTCAGTATGTGCAGTATCACAGTTTCAAAGGACAGCTACAAAGTGATATTTTATAACCTGCAACATCTTATAAAAAATTTAAACTGTGTTTTCCAATCTTTGTGTTGATATGTGGATCAACTTTCACTGTCCTTTCTGATGTAGATATAGGTTATCAGTAGAGATTCAGCACTCTTTTAATAACTGAAGCTGGCTAAAAATAAAAAAATAAAGTCAAATTATCACCATCATTTTTCCAAAAGGTGCCACTAAATTTCAGTTGGCTGTAAACAGCTGTGAACATAACAGTTGCACTGGAAAAAGGGAAACATTTAGAAGAGAGACAGTTTTTATTTTTCACAGTTGAAATGATAACTGGCTGATATTACACAAGTTAGATTTTAAAAGATATAGTTACATAGTTACCACATAGCTAATATTGATAATGTTACATATAATATAGTACCTACAGAAAGTGTATCAAATAAGAGAAATTAGTTGAATGCTCACAGTTTTTATCATGACCTTTTTTCATTTTCTTCAGCTGAAATTGGTGATTACGATCCTGGGAAACACCCTGAAGGCTATAGTTCCAAGTTCCAGTTCTTCCCCAAGCACTCGGAGAAACTGGAGCGGCGAATTGCTGAGATTCACAAGACTGAGCTGATGTAAGGTGACACCAGTCGAGATCTCTGTGCACCTGGGCCCCCCATTTCTCTTCTCTGTAACACAAAAGAGAAATCACATGGGGACTCCTAGCTCACAGCTTCCACCTGATCAATTCCTCATTTACTGTTTCTTCACTTTAATGTTTGCTGCTGTAATTACATTCTGGTTGAGATTAACATACTGAAAGTACACAACCTCCCATTGCTCTAAAAGCCCAAAGAAATGTATTCTGAGAAATGTTACAGTTTCATTTTAATGTATTGTATTTGTAAATTTCCTAATCTTATAAGTTGAAAGTACTGGCAGATTTTTGTATAAAGTCTGAGACTCGGTTTTAATATAACTCCCTGAGGACTCATTGCCTTATTCCAAAATAACATTTTGAATTTGTTCATATTTCTGGAATAAGTTTCATTCTGCACCTGCTGATGGCATTAAACTGTCCAACGCTTTGCAAAGCTTTGTCCTGTTTTCATACTACTGTATGCAGTATGCTTAGCCCAGGGGATGAATACAAATACTGGGTATGGATTTAATCCTCCACTGCCCTCTATTGATCATTTATGGTTGTAGTTTTCCTTCATTACTAAATCATATTCCCTTGATTGCCTTTGTAAGCACAATTGTGGAAAAAAACATACGGATGACCATTCAAGCAAAAGCGATACATAAAATGGGGGGGAAAAAATGGCCTACAGTCTCATCAATCTCCTCAGTGTTATTTTGCCAAGATGCAAAATAAGCACACTCAAATCAAGGATGACCCTCCAACGCAGCAGGTTAAGCCTTATTTTTTTCCCCTCAATTATATGAAGTAGCTATGACATTTGAATGTTTGTTTTTTTACTTTTAAAAAAACCCAAGTTGATTCTACTTGTGCCTAGTATCTGCAAAAGCTTTCAATGAAATAGAGACGGTCAATATGCACAAAATGGGCACACAAAAAATCAAAAACAATAAGTTGTAAAATACATGCAGTATGTAAAAAATAGTAAAGGAATGATTACTAAACTTAACAAATGAGGTACTTTCTGGGTATTTATTTGAATTGTACTGTCATACTTGTGCAAAAAAGAAAAAAAATGGCTATGAGGGAGAATATCAGAAAAACTTTACTGTAAACACTTAAACAGACTTGTTCAGTAAAAATGTAGCTTAATATGAACTTAAATATATAGCTTTAGTATATTTAGGGTTGTTTATTTGATTTGTTGCCAGCTGTGCTGGTTATAGTCTAGTACCTACTATAAAGATCAGTCCTAGTAAAAGTATCATGATTACATTCATACATGCTTTTCCCCTTTTTTGTGGTTTGTTTTTCTCAGAGGTCAGACTCCTGAAACATCAGAGCTCAACTTCTTGCAAAAAGCCCAGACTCTTGAGACGTATGGAGTAGACCCTCATCCATGCAAAGTAATCTTTACAGACGAAAGACGAAATATGAAACTATTCAGGCTTCCTTGTCAAAATTTTGTTCCTCTTTACTCTTATACTGGGTGAGTCACTCTGTTTTCTTGTGTAAACTAAACCACGGATTGCTTTTCCCTCAGGATGTGTCTGGGAATCCTGCTTTTCTTGCTTTCACTCCTTTTGGATTCACTGTGCTACAAGGGAACAGGAGGATCCATTTTCTGAAATGGTGATTCAAAGTTGCTTTAAACAGTTACTGTTATTCTCTCTGACATTTCAGCTTTTGGCTTCTCTTCTTAATTTGTTATTCTCTATTTTCTTACCCTTTTCTTTTCCTTATTTATTCTGTCTCTACCTCAGGGAGGAGGTAACTAAACTTAAATTCGAAGCAAAGACATTCCATATATATGCAACTCAGAATGAGGTATGAAAATTCTCCATGAAAATATATCTACACAATCTGTTCAACACTGAAAGTCAAATGAGTTTGATTTTTTAAAAACATCCCTTCTCACTTGTGTTTCCTTTAAAAATAGAGATATGAAGGAAGATATTGTAATTTTGTTTTGCTACAGGACAGAAAGATTATACTTACATACTTTGCACCTACACCAGAAGCCTGTAAGCATCTGTGGAAGTGTGGAGTGGAGAACCAGGCCTTCTATAAGTAAGTGACAAGATATAGATATTTAAGATTATTCAGAAAGATTAAATAATGCAATCCAAAACAAAGTAGGACATGATTATGAAATGTAAAGTATAATAGTCCCTTGTTTTCAAAAACCTTTAGTGTAATACCTTACGGACACATGTTTTTGATAGACATTGAAGAGGTTGATTAGGTTACAAACTAATATTTCAAACTTTCAACGTCTCACTTAGGACTGTTCAACCCACCAGACAAGTATGGAAAGAAGTTTAGCTGCAAACATGCTTATTCTCTTAAACTAGTAAAACAGGCAACGAGGAGCTGCAGACATCAACACCTCAGTTTAGAGAATTTATCGACAGATCAATTGGTGGTAGTGCACCACACATCTTATTGGATCATTGCAATACGATTTGTGAGAAATACCAGATATCCCCTCTCCCTAGCATAATTATGTTGCACTTTGTATTGGTCTGGTTACAACCAGACAAGATATGAAAAAAAATTATATTTTGTCTGGATATGAAAAAACTGGGGAATGGGTGTGGATAGTTTTGCAAAGGTCTATATATTCGATTAATTTTTTCCATTGGCTGACAGGTTGGAGAAGTCAAGTCAAGTTCGTACTGTGTCCAGTAGCAATCTCTTCTTCAAGGGTAGTCGCTTTAGATACAGGTAAGTATTTATGAATGTAGTACTCATAAAAAGCATACTTACATTAACTTATGAGACACTCATTTGAATATCAAACTGATATTTTAATCTTTGTTTTGTAGTGGAAAGGTTGCAAAAGAAGTGATGGAACAAAGTGCCAGAATCAAGAGGGACCCCCCTGAGATCCACAGGTCACATTTTTATTTTCTTTAATTGTGTTTGTGTAAATGGAATTTTGTAAATGTATGTGTATGTATTTATTGTTTTGTTTGCTTGTTTTTGACCTCAGGGCTGGTATGGTTCCCAGCAGGAGCTGTCCATCTATCACGCACGGTCCTCGTCTGACCAGCGTGCCCCGAACCCGAAGGAGAGCTGTACACATCTCCATCATGGAAGGTAATTACACACACACACACGCAGACACGCAGACACACACATGCATGCATGAGGCTAGAGGGAAAACGTAGCAGTGGTAACCAATAAAAGGAGTCACCACTTAGAGTATTAAAAGGGAAATAGAGTGGTTAGTGACACTTCAGACAGATTCGCAATAATAGGATTGAACATGGGAATAAAATGGATCAGGGATAGTTTAGTTATATTGATTACTGTGTCAAAATCTTCAACTTCATGTTTGCCTGATTAATACTTGTAACTACCTTTCATAGCCTCTAGTATTCTTCACAAAACAGTTTGAGCTCACATTGGATGAAGATCACCTGTGCGCAGCAATTTTCAGGTCTTGCCACAGATTTTTAATGAAACCACATAGGTATTCTTTGATTGAACCCATTGTGTTGCAGCTGAGGCTGTATGATGAGGGCTTGACATGTTAAACTGGGATGCATTTATAGCTTGACTTATCTTCAGCATACTTTCCAGCTTCCCTGCTATTGCTGAAGAAAAGCATTACCACAACAGGATGGTGTGTCCACCAAGCATCACCATGGGTATGGTGTGTTCAGGGTTATGCAAAGTGTTAGTTTTCTCAAGCAGCGTAATGCATGATGGCCAAATTGCATCCTTCTCATTGCACCGTCTTCTGCATATTCAGTGTTTCCTTCACAAGACTTGTAATAAGCCTTTAAATAGGATTGGGTTTCTTTTAGCAGTGGGGTTCCTCCCACTGCTTTTCCATTTATGGACTCATCCACCTAATAATTGCAATGTTGACAGAGCCTCTCACCTGAGCTGTTAATTTATGCATCTCCTCCATAGTTACTGTGGGCCTCTTGGGTTCTTCTGTGATCAAGACTCTCTAGATTGACATGTTTTGGTAATACACATCTATATCAAACATAGGGTCTTTTTGACACAACCTTTTAAACCACACACATATTGTGTATTCTTTCTCTGTGAATACATCCTGAAACACATAACCACCCTAAATGGCACTGATAAACCTGGTCCCTCAAGCATTGTTTTTGTCATGAGAAACTCTTGCAGTCACTTTATAAAGGCCACTTACTGCCCCCCTCTCCCATCCAACAGGCTATTAACCTTTGGTTAATGCTACCACTGAGAGTTTTCTGTTTGTTGATCAGCTTGTTCAGGTTAATAAATTTTTAGCTAAGTCTATTTGCAGTGCTTAATCTTTAATAAAACAAGCCTTCCTCTTGTCATGGACAGAGACTGCAGGGTGTGACCAATCACCTAAACATTCCTACAATGAACCCCCTGTGTTTTGTTGCTCTGGTATTTCAGCTGGTAATAATATCACAACTTGAAAATAGCTCCTGCTGTCAGGGGTCATGCCGTCTATGTCCCAGCTGACAGCAGGGAGGAGGGAACGTGGACTGTGGAACAAGTGGGGAGCATTCCTTGGCCTTGTCTGTCACTATCTGACCGCTCTACGATTCGTCTATCTCTGCCAGCTTGTAGGGCAATTTGTGTGACCAACTGACCAGAGACAGGAAGACTGCTCACTTTTCCATCTATACTCGGAGGTGCAATCTGACTGCAGGAGGATAAAATCAGCAGACACAATAAGAAGAAAACACAAGGTTAAAGGAAGGCCAGAAGAGTTGCACCGAGGTTCTTTTTTTGAGTAAAATCATGGTGAAGTGTCTTATCCAGATCAAGACCAAGGTGAACGTTCACCTGCGTATGATCAACCACTGCTATCGAGAAGTTAAGGTGCGTGTGCTCTCTATGGGACCCAGGCTCCTGGGCAAAGCTCTGGGGGTGCTGCCACTCTTCCCAGCCCTCCCTGGAGGATCTTCCACCTCAGGGTCTGGTTCTGGGTCAGGACACAACTCCAAATCTCCGTCCAGGCTAGCTGTCCCACCCTCCTTTCATGGCTACAGTCAGCCACAATCCAACGTTGCAGGTAAAAACCCAGCTGGTTGCGTTTTCTGTGGGCTCTGTCTTTTTCTGAGGAAAAACTATTTCAGTGATTGATATAATCATGTAAAATCTTAAAATGAAGGAAAAAGAAGTTTCCCATAATGCAGTGGTGTCCAAACTTTTTCTACTGGGGCAAAAAAAATTGGCAAATTTAAACAACTGGCTGGACATAGAATTCAATCACTTAAAGATGCAAAAATGTGTTAATGATTTTTTTTATCTATTCCAAATAAAATGTCATGAAATGTGTATGCCATTCAAGATTTAAGACAAAAAAGGGAATATTTTTCTGAGGCTACATAAATGATTAAAAAGAAGTTATTTTCTAAAATTATACCAGTGGATTACCAGCAATTCAAGTCAGTTTTAAATCTCAGTGTTTCACAGTCTTTATGGAAGTCAAATGACTTTCAACTTGTAATAATTAGAGATCATTATTCAACTAACATTGTTATGAATGCATGAGAGCGAGGTTGTATTGTGTCTGAACCTAAACAGTTTGGGATGATCATGAAGAAGGTTATAATAATAACAACAGAAACGTCTAGATTATGCACACACATTAACTGTTTGTCTGCTCTACAAACATTTAAAGTGACAAAATATGTTACAATAAAGGACAATGCCTAGAGGTTAATTAAAGTCATTAGAAAGTGAAAAATGAAACCACAACAAACCTGTCACAAAAGGGCATTGGGCCAAAACTGCAACCACAAAAAAGATTCATTATAGAGGAGGGAAAGAAGTCAAGGGTAACCATAAAGAAGTGTTAAAGCCACACAGCAGAGTCAGTTGTTAGCATGGGGCTACTTTAAACTCTAAATTGCTTGGATGAACGGCTTTCTACAAAATAAATAATTCCCTACAGAAAATGAAAAAAGCCAAAAAGAAGAGTTTAGATTGGTATCTTTTAAATGACCAATTATTCCAACAATAAGAGCATTCCAGTTTTTAAATGGCAAATATATACATGTCTGAAAACTGGCTAATTAAATCAAATTTGATTTAGACTTGGTGTCATGTCAAAGGAGTGCTGCACATCTGCTGAAATCATTCATGTGCAAAGCAGCAGTTGAGTTTAAGGGCAGTGAAAAAATGTAACCACCTAATACAAATGTGATCTTTATCAAACGGTAATAACCCCTTCTAATACACTTGTTGTCATATGTCACTATCACTGCAGCAAGTCATTTGATTCAATATCACAAATTAAACAGAGGTTGATGAAAATTAGTGCTTTATGCCAGTTATATACCAATGGAATATGCTCACAGAAATATACAAAAAAAAAAAAAAAAAAAAAGAATCACATTCATAACGAACCTAAGGTGTCAGCAGTTTGTAGTGAGCAATTAGTTTTTCTGCAGGCCGGCTAAAATGCTCTAACTTACAAGACAGACAGTTTTAAATTAGAGCATTGAAGTCAACCTTGTCTAGCCTTGTCTTTTTAACTACACTGTAATTATCAGGCTGATAACGTCTTAATTATAGCAAAGTATTAACAGAACACTTCTTTTGCATTTCTAAGCCATCAAACTTTGTCACATCAGCAAAACAACAGACGGAGTCCATTACTACCACATACATGATCATCTAATATAACAACCACCCAATTTTTGTGATTTCTTTTCATTTTAGTCACCACTAAAAGAATATTACATGTGTACACTTATCAGGAGCTTTATGTAGGAGAGGTTAGAGAAAAAACAAGCTGACTGGTTCAATGTAATATAAAGGTAAGAGTAGCCAAATCAGCACAGATCAAAATGAGGTTATGAATAATATCATCTCTAACAGATTCAACCTTGAAGCAGGCGGGTGGCAGCAGCAGAACGCCACACCGGCTGCCACTCCTGTCAGCTAAGAACAGAAGCTTCACTTGACACCGACTCACTTAAACCAAACAATGACTTGGAAAAGTTCTGATGGGTATCAATTTGATCCATCATGTAAATGGCCTGGCTAGAATTTGGTGCATCAATGGTGATGTAATGGCAGAGCTTAAGCCACTCTTATTGGACAGAGTGAAAGAATTAAAAACAAGTAGGAGGGTTTGAAATGTCTGCTATACATCCCTGATTGAAATCTAACCACCTATAGTTTAATGAGATAATCTTTGAATCTGTGTTTTCAGGATTAGAGTCCCTTCGAGACAGTGCCCACTCCACGCCGGTGCGTTCTGTGTCCCATGGTGACTCCTTCATGTCCAGCCGGGGCCACCTGGAGGACCGGAGCGAGGCCAGCACGTCAGGAGTGATCTCCGATGAGACCTACAGCCCCTCGGACAGTGTGCTGCCCACTCCCGTCGCAGAGCATGGCGTGGAGCTTCCTTCAGCTCGCCATCTCAACGGCGCACCCTGCAGCATCGACGAGGAGAAGGAGTCGGAGGCGAGGGCTCTTAAGGAGGGGAAAGCAGGGGAGTTCAGGCCCGGCAGGAAAGCACCGCGCACGGTCCGTAGCAGGCCTTCACAAGGCGCTAATGTAGAGGACCTTAACAAGTTTGTCTTAAGCGTGCTGCGCTTGTTCCTGGTCACCATTGGACTGCTGTTCGCCCTTTTGCTGCTGCTCATCATGCTGACCGAGTCCGACCTGGACATAGCCTTCCTGAGGGACATCCGCAAGACACCAGAGTTCCAGCAGTTTCACTTTGAGTATTTCTGTCCTCTCCGGCGCTGGTTCGCCTGTAAGCTACGATGGATAGGCGGTTTTCTTGTTAGCAAATGAGGTAAAGTGACGGAGGAGAGTCCATGACTTCACACAGGCCTCCAGGGACAGAGACTGGGCAGAACAGGAGAAACTAAGAGGAATGCGACAGCTTTGTTTATATTGGCTCTGCTTCTCCCAGGAAGGAGTTCCAGTCACAAGCCACAGACTGCCGTGATTATGTATGACTATCACTACATACGTAGGAATAAAAAATAAAAATAAAAAAATCACACTTTATTTTAGAAATCCAGGTCATTTTAAGGCATTTTATTTTTACACAAAGTCACGAAAGCAGGGTGAATCAAAGCTTTGATGAAAGTCGTTCAGGCTTCGCTTGTTCAGTCAGAGATAGTTGCCTTTATTTTTCTATTCATTTATACTTTTTATCATTACTGTGAGAGAAGATGAGCTGAGACTGAAGGAAAAGTTATGAAGAGACTAAGAAAAGAGAACAAAATAGCTGATTAGTTTTATCAAATCAATAATGACCTGAATGATAAACAACAACCTTGATAATTATTGGTTAACCTTCATAAAAATGTACAAAAAGCCTTGAATCTTTTACTGCATTAGCATAATTATATACACGACCTGACATTTAATTGACTTTTAATCTTTTGTAATACAAATTTATTTATAATAGGTATTTGTTTTTTGGTTTTTTGTGTGTGTTTTGCAAAATCTGCGTGCCAAACTCATTGTCAATTATAAATCAAAACACAGAATCTCTACAAAATATAAATGTAATAGAAGCATTTTTAGATTTATTTTTTTTATTTAATTTCGGTTAATGTTTGGAAACTATAATTTATAATCAGTAGTTTCCAGGTCCTCAAATTAAAATTAGTTTTCAAACGTATTCAGTGTGAAATGATGCTACTTAAACAAAAGCTAAACTTGTTTTAGGGCTTTTTATGCATTTTTACCAACAGTCCGCATAAAAATTGAAGGTGGTGTTTAGGCTAGAAGATATATACTGGGGCAATTAAGCATAGAACTAAGAAACGTCACAAAGTGATGAATTAAATAAGTTTTGAACCAGATGAACTGTTTATACTCAGTTAAAACAACTGCAAACAGTTATTCATATCACTTTATGATTCAGAGTGATGCAGGTGCTACCCTGTCAGCTGGTTTGAACAATCTTTGTCAGTTTAACTGTGTCCATGCTCAGGTGTTCGTCAGATGTTCTCACGTGATCATTTTAGTCCAAACACTATTGGACCATCAAAGTCTACGAAACAAAGTAAGCCTTTCATAAAAATACATATAAGATATCAAAGTTATAAGTTCACTGCTTACTAAATAGGAGCCAAATAACATAATCAGTTTCTGTGTGAAGAGTTGGTGCCACTTTGCTGTAGTTTGAAGGGAAAAAGTGAGTTAATAATGTAGTGGTAGTCAAGTTTTTGGTTAGTTCTCCTCCCAAAATCTGTAAAGGTTCATCTTGATGTGCAATAATGTTAAAAATCCAAAATACTTTCTACCTAAGTAAATTTGACTTTGTAAAATTTGAAAACTTAGTGCTATTTTCCCACAGTGTTAAGAGATAGTTTTATGTCAGAACCCTACAGAAGTGAGTCATTTAAGTTTGTGTTACCCTGCTGTTCCTAAAATCATGCATTTATTTTAAGGTTTAGAATATTTAAATGGTGTTTATTTTTGTACAAATTGCTGTCAGTTTAACCTATGGACGCCTTCTCACAGTGGCTGTGACATGTTTTTACAACAAAAAATGTTTTAAGGCACTCATTAGAAAGCAATCATTGTTTATATCCAACACAGCGTTGTTCATCGCCACACCTACCAAAGAAACCTCTGTTGTTTCACAGCCTGTTTGCATCAACAGATGAACACTCTGCAGACTGTCTTCAGCCTTATTACTCTGATTTTTCGCAAGCAAACCTACAATGTGTCTTTATTTTCAAAAAAAAGAAAACTCCAAACATCAGTGTTCACAGTCAAGTGTTTGTCCTAAGGATGAAAAAAAAAAACATAAATGCTGCGCACCAGTGAAGTGTATTAGCAGATGTAGAACATTATGCTTTAAAAAGAGACATGATATGATTTTATTGTTTGGTTGAGAAATTATAGATATATATACACAGGTAAATATGATTGACGATTACTGTGTAATTTAAATTTTTTCCAAACGAAAAATCAACCTCTTTCGAGACAGCGGTATGAATTTTATTGTTTTTACATGGCACAAAAAAAATAATAATTTAGCTTTTTACTTTGTAGCTCTAGGGAGTTTCAGTAACATACTTCCAATAATATTGGTGCAGTTGAAACCATGTTTACATACAGTAAATAAAAAATAAAAAACACTTTTCATTTTGTCTCAATGTAACATGCAGTCTGATTAACTTTTCCTTTTTCAAATCATTGTCATTTGCTAAAATCCATGATATTACTCTCTTCACAGTAAAAAGATCAGACATCAACTTTGAACTGTTTTTAAAAACTCACTGAAATACATCAATGCTCAGTAGGAAGAGAATTATGCATTTTCAGAAGCCAGAAAGTTTCCTCTTTCACCTGTTCAAACATTTATAGGCCAGTATCAACAGCATGAGATTGCGATGCCATTATACTTTACAGTAATGAGACAGGTTTTAAGAGTGGAGTGTTTTGGTGCAAAATGTGCGCATCGACCCCGGATGACAACCTAAATCTCCTGTGAGAATCTTCTCTGATGCTGATGAGTGTCGATATCCACAGTGAAACAAGTCATGCACCACAATGGACCGAAAGGCCACTCCGCAGGGGAAAACTCAAAAACTAACATTAGAGAGCTAGTTTGCATCTTGCAAATATCCACATTTGTATAAAAAAAGTCCTGTGATGAAAATGAACTGTTTGGCCATGATGACAATTGTTCCCACTGAACAAACAACAAAGCCAATGTTTTAGAATGGCCATCACAGACCGACTCAGAAGCTCCGATTATAAAAGAAGGAATGGGCCAAAATCCCAGCAAGCTACTTACAGCTTGTGGAAAACTTTTCAATTAGTTTAAATGCAATGTAACCACATTTTAAAGTTCTTCTGACTTTGAAGAAAGCTAAAGTGAGAAAATGATCTCATTCTGGCCTTTAGATCAGCAAAGCTAACTTAAATAGGAAAGATTTATTCTGATTTAATAAGAGTCATCTTTTTTTACACAGTCCATGTATACATCTGGTTTCAACTGCATATTTCAGTAGGCTACTCATATTTAAGCTTTAATTCAGTTTGCACCAGACGGCATTATACAAATAAAGAAATGGCCAATCAAGCATGCAAATGCCTTTTGCTTACATTTGCGTTTATCTGTAATAAAATGTGCTAAATCAGGAGTGCCCAAGTCAAGCAAATTCATTCGATTCAGGTGTGTTGGAGAAGGAATACATTTAAAAGTTACAGACTAAATTTGGACTCCCTTGTCCTATATAAACAAAATGTTTCAGATTCTGTAGTAAAATTGTTAAATGCAAATCTTTGCCTCCAAGGCTTGCTAAACATTTACAGTGCATCAAAGAATACTGTAGGCATGTTTGGGACAGATTTTGCTCCGTGTTCTTGGAAAAAACATTTTCATGTTGTTCTTTGTCTTCTCTATAAATCAGATTAATTTATGCAATTTGATTAAATGCAAAATGTTTTTGTGAAAGTCTGTTTTCAAGAGTTCAAAAGGAGAACCCATAGAATTCTCATTTGCCTTTAGTACAAATTTTGTATATTTTCTTGCAGCAGGGTAAAAAAAAAAACAAGGGAAAAAATACTCTGTGCCCACTTGTACAATGCAGTTTGATTTATCCAGGAAGTTAAACTGGATAACTGAATGTTTCAAACTTGAGCTGGCACACTAACTGGTGGGACAGTTTAGCTATCGAGCTACTGGCTTTCTTCTCACTAAAACATGTCAACAGGATTTAGGTGTCAAACACGTTCCTACTGTAATCTTTCTTCTTGTGTCAAAGTCCAGCACATGCCAATGTCTCTGTAAGCATTATGTTCTGCATTCAGTTCCTCTTACCAAGACTGCTTTTTCCTATTATTGACTGAAGACTAGTGTAATCTGTGAATAAACAATATTCATTCTTTAAATCTCGCAGTTGATTTAAATGCAGTACAAATAAAACATTCAAGTACATCAAAAACTGAATAAAAGTATTGATTACCTATTTATAATAAATAATTCAGGTCAGCCACATAAGAACATGTGGAAAATTTGTCAAGCTGCTGCATCCGAGAGGTGACACAAAATTTGGGAATGAAATCTCTTTAGCAGTCATATTCACTACATAGCTTTATTGATTTCATGTAAACATCACAAAGATATAAACATTAAAAAAAAATGTTCCACAAACAATGCAGAGGACTTTCCGTATTTTCAAACTTTTGTAATAAAAAAAAAATGGTGCAAAATTTTCAACATTACTTAGAAAACTAACCTCAAACCAAAGATGTTTAAATATGCTGAAGTTTGTTGAATCCTGTCCAAAGTAACATAAATAAACCACAATAGTTACATTTCTGTAAAACTAAGAAGGCATGTGGTCAAATCTCCCCCTAAAAAAAGCCTTTAAATCAATAAGATTTGTTTCAAAGAATGAGCAAGTCATCTTCTTTATAGAGGATACAACGTAAAGAAATTCTGAAGACAACAATAAAGGAATTAATATATTAACACTAGGAACGCATGTAGGAAGTGCATAGAAGCAGGACACAGGCAGTTGCAATGGCAACTCAGTGAACTGTGAACAAAAGGGTAAAAAACCCCTGAGAAGTCAGACTATGAAAGTCTTATGAGCAACAATCTAAAATAAAGACAAAAAAAGCTCTTTTTTTAGAAAAGGTGCAACACATCTGGAATGGATTTTTATAGACTCTGACGAATACAGAGACCCTCATTAATAAATCTTTGCTAAATCAACCTTTTTTTTATGAGCTTTCTAATTATTTCTGCCAGTATCTGTGTAGTCAGCTCTTTCCTACAATACTCATCTCACCCAGAGATGACAGTTGTAAACTCACTGGTCTTCGTTCCAACTGTGGAAGACGTGCATGCGTCCTGATGAATTCCCCCCCAGAAGGGCGTTTCTTGTGGGATGAAAGGCGGTGACGGACAGCACCGTGCCAAGGTTCTCATCCAGGAAAGAGTGCAGCAGCTGCCCACTTTCGTGGAACACCTCCACCCGCCGGGGTCTTTTCACACTTCCTACCACAAAGCAGTCCTCCTGCTTGGGGTCCCACACCGCCGAGAGCTTTGACAACCAGCGGCCCGTCTGCATGTCATGACTGCAAATCCAAGGAGAAACATGCTGCATAGTTAGATCAGGACCCAACAAAAAACATACTTAAAATGCAAATAAATCCTGTACATACCTGATGGATTTAATCATGGGAGGTTCAGTAGTCAATGAAGATGTGTCGTATATCCTATAAATTTAATGAGAACATAATAGAAAAGACAGATCCTGGAATATTTTAAATATATATATATACCCCTTAAATGTCTTTGTTTTCCTGACATGCTACAACCTCAATGTATTTTATTGTTTGAGATATTTTTCTGTCAGACCAAATAAAATGTATAATTGTTAAGTAGAAATATGCTGCTTTCAGTTTGTAAAGAAATACAACCCAGAAAATCAGAGCATCCAATTGCCTTGGTAAATCCTGAATTATTAAAGCTTAACATTGTGGTAAATTATTTCTGTATATGTACAGTTGTTCTGTGAAGGCCTCAGAAATTTGAGATCAATTAGAATCAAGACCAAGTGATAACCCAAACACATTAGTGGCAAAGACTAAACTGGGGTTGGCGCCACAAAAAAATATGTTTTCAACGCCTCAGAGAAAAAAACACACTACACATTACATTGAACACACCAGATTTTTTTTCTTCTTCCACATCACAAATGTGCTCCAAATTGTGTCAGTCTATCACATGAAACCCAATAAAATTCATTGAGGTTTGTGGTTGTAACAGAAGATGTGAAAACCTTCAGTGCTTTAACAACTTGTTTGCTTCACCTTATGTGATTGTCCAGGCATGAGGTGAGCACTCGGCTCCCAGTGCAAGGTGAGAAATAAGCGCTGGTGATGGATAGCGCGTGCCCATTCAGGTGAGACACTGCCTTGCTTTGGGTCTTCTTCAAGTATCTGCTGTCATAAATACTTACTGTCCTGTAGAAAGAAGAAAAGTTTTAAAAAGAAAACATTCTGATAAAGTGAAAATGGAAAGCCAAAAGAATGGAAAAAAATCAGCGATGCAATTATTACCTGCTTTCTGCTGCGACAAAGTACTGCATCTGGAGAGGATGGACATCTACACAGCGAACAGCCTTGGTGTTTAGGGAGTGAAGAGACTCATGGGAGTTTCTTGAAGGACAATGAAGTTGTTATAAAGACAATTTACTAAGAAAAATTATAATTTTCGGGAGTAAAACAGAAAATAAGAACAAATAATTGTTCTGTGAACAGTGAAGCCTTACCCTGGAGTCCGCCTGTCGACGATGGCAACCTCTCCAAACCAGTTCCCTGTCAGAAGTGTTGAACAGTCATGTGACATAAAAGCAAATGTTTTCAGGCCATCATCAATGTCATACACCTGGAACAAAAAGAATAAAACTTTTCACATAAGGGTTGAATATCTTAAGGATATTCAGAAAGAGGGAGAGGTATGAATAATTTCAGAATCAACGTTATATTTTGAACAAATGTGCTTGACTGTTGACAACTGTACGTACATCATCAAATATGGCCTTCTCTACATCCATGCAGCGCAAGGATCCATCGTAGCTGGCGCTCAGCAGCTGGTTAGGATGACACCTGGAGAACGCCATGCTGCCCACCGGACGAGAGTGGGGCTCAAAGAGCAGAACACCGTCATCGCCAAATTCAGCGCCCTGATTCGCAGAAAAATGAATAATTACATCAAACATGTATGAAGAAAAAATTGTTTAAATATTGGTCTGGAAAAGAAAAGAGAGAGTGTGGTTGGGATTATGCTGAACATGCTTGTCAGCATAAGATGTGATGCATGAATGTGTCAAAAAGACACATACATCTTTATTTTGCTTGCAGAAGAAAACCCAGAAGATTTGAAGGAAGTTATAGAGTTCAAAGGCAATGCTACACTGAAGAATTGTACATAAACTTCTGGATTTTAAGAGATTAAGAAAGACATCCTTGACATTGTCCTTCTCTTGTTATTGTGGCATTTAACAAATAGATTAAAAAAAAAACTTGTAATTCTAACTGATCCAAAAATGTATTTGATCTGATTGTACATCAAGCAGTGAGAAAAAATTATCAGTGTATGTAAACTACATGAAGAAATTAAGATATCTTTAAAAAAAATCTTTAAAGAAAACATCACTAGAACACCAAATCAAGATTTAATAACAATGTGGCAATTACATCCCCTCTGCTATGCTTCCCATGAAACTGAATTATAGATCATTTCAAGGTCAGAGGAAGTTTGAAATATTCACACATATTTAATAAATTAAGCCTGAGAGATGTGTCCCAAAGCAGCAGAATAGTTTCTAAAAAAATCTTTTGATCGACAGTAGAGGGTGACTTATGAAAGTTTCAGGTTCAAAATAATTAAATAAATTAATGTATCCCCCTTAAAGTGCTAAAACACAAGCAGCCAAAGGACATAAGGTAAATCATAGGGAGCTGCAATGATCAGCCACTAAGGTGGGAGAATGTATAGGTAGTAAAATTAGTCTTGCAATTAGTAAGTCTGGAAAGAAGAAAATTGTTGTAGATAGAAAGTTGTAAGAAGTCCAGCTTTTATTGCAAATTATGTCACATAAAAATTTAAGTTCCCAAAATTTTAAACGAGTGAGAAAACCTATGCAAATCTTTCTCTTCAAAAAGTGCAACTTACCATATTCCACAGTCCTACTTTCCCCCACTTGTCTCCAGCAGCGAGCAAGAGGCTGCTGCTGCAAGGATGGAAGGCTGCAGAGAAGATGCGATCCTTCACCACTTTGACCACATCGTCTTCTCTTATCTTAAGGTTTTTCAGTGCAGAAATGTACCTGTGTTCAGACATTAAAGTCATTTATCGCTTTCTCTCAACAGCAGAGCATCTTTGTTACCTGGTCAAAATGCACTAAACAATTCAAATAACAAATACAAAACATAATCTCACTCTTTTAAATCAAGCTTCCTCTTCTCCTTCTTTGTGTCCTGTTTAAAAAAAGAAAAACAGCCAATGTTTCAAACCAAAAACCAAGACATTGACATAACTTTTCTACATGCAAAACAGATTGTATATCAAGCTCAAGTTTTAAAAGAAAATTAAGCGAAAAGTTGATATTCAGACTGAAACACGTAATTTTACTTCAAAAAAGGTTAAATCAGGACAATAAGGAGGAAACATATGTAATTCCTACCTCTGAGCAGAGCTGCAGAAGCTCTGGTGGCAGCTTGAAACCCCCATCCTGATTTATGGGATTCATGTGCAGAGCGCCACTGGGCTTCTTTAATACGCTGGTCTTTTGTGGAAGAAAAAACAAAACAAAAAAATAACTAAATAAGTAAGAGAAAATCCAGAATGCAATACACAACTACTGAAAGGACAGTACACATTTATCATAAGATACCAGAGCAGGATGAAGCAAATTAATGGGTTCTTTGGGAAGAGTCAACTTTTCTGCTGGTTTATTCTGAAGGCGTAGGGATTTACGAGGGGGAAGTACTTCTTTAACAGCTGACTGGGGCCTGTAAATAAAGATTAAAATTAAAAAGATAAAGATAAAAAAGATAAAAGATAAAAAGAGCTATCGCTGGTAAGGTGAAAGCTATCCAGAAAATATTTCTACAGCATTAAAAAGAAAAAAAAGTACTTTGAAAAGCCATGAAACTGAGAAATTGTGCTGTTTAACAAAGTTAGCATTTTTCCAAACATTGTTGATTAAAATAACCAAAATGCACCCAAATTTCAGAACATAATTTAAAGTTGATTTCTGAAATGAGCAGTCAGTTTTAGCTAACCATACCTCAAACCTCGCTGTGACGGCTTTGGTCGTATGGTCTGATGCAAATCCTCTCTGGCCTTATGAAAAAGGAAAACACAAGTTTTATTTCTAGTCAAAAAGAACACGAGGAACAATCTCTACAATTGTCACAGTGAAACAAATCTGAAATAAAGCTGCAGGCAAGTTGTTGGCATCTCCAATAAAAATAGACAAAAAGCACCTGGATGAAGGTCCAACATTGAAGCCAACGTTGGACGAATTACGAATTTAACAGCAATAAATGCCTTTATTTCGCTTTAAGAATGCCTTTGATTTCATGCATGTTTACTACTGATACAAATTCAAAGGTAAATGACAATGCATCATGTTTCAAATTCAAAGTTTATCTTTTTATTACTCAGTAGCTTGCCTGTGAAAGTTATGATTTTTATCATGTCATCACCAGACAGCAACAAACCAGTCGATCTACCTGGAGTAAGTTGATGGAGGACAGAAAGGCCTGGTTCTTCCTGATGTTCTCAAGGCGCTCCAGTTCATATGCAGACAGCCCTGCAACACTCTGATATGCACAGACACCATATTGGCATCATTCATACAGCCTCCAAGCATTCACACACAGAATATACGTCAACCACCACATGCGATACAAACGTAGAAAGTTTGGTGTACTTACAGCTGTCTGGTCCAATTCATCTTCATCCTTTATCCTCTTCTTCTCTGGCATTTCGTTTGTGGTTTTTGCTTTCTGTCGAGACAAAACGCGGACCTATTACAGATTTCCAGCATCACTGAATAAACCTTTCCCTGCCTGAACTTACTTTAGCCGCCACCGTTTCATCCGCCACGTCTGGAGAAAAGTCGAGCCGCTTCGGGGCGACAGCCCTCCGAGATGACCGTCGGACTGTCGCGTTGGTATCTGGAGTCAAGTACTTTTCACCGGCAAGCAGAGAAATATGTTACACAAAAGTCCATCGCGTAACAAGAGTCGCAACGACAGAGAACCAGACAGTTGCCGTACCTTCATAGTAGCTTCGCGTTTCGTTTGTCTGGTAGACATGTCGTTACACTCGGTAAGTTGTTGTCAGTGAATAAATCCCAGCTGACTGCACAGCTATGGACTTCAACATTCACAGTAGATGTAGGCGCAAACTGTTTGCCGCCACACGGTGTGTAAGTTTTGTAACAAATCCCTCCCATTTCTCTTGTGCAACAAGAGGACGAGGAGGAGGGGAAGCGAAGGAGGAGCCTGCTTCTTCTTGCTTTGCAATGGCGGTTGGCAAACAACAATTTGACGCAATACCACCACCTACCGGTTAGAGTAGGAATCACAACAAGGAAGCTAAAAAGAAACCCTCCACTATATTCTGAAATCTAGTTAACGTCGAATAACTCGTAAAATAATGTAATTAAAAGAAAAAAAGTCTAACACATATCTACAGAAATTTTCTTAAAAGGCTGTTTTATTACTTTTGTTCTTATTTCTTCTGGAAGTATTAAACTTTGCATGGAATGGGGAAATTTAAGTGTCACAGCAGCAAGTTAATATAAAGTCAGTGGGAGTGTCCATATTCACAAAACAGTGAAACAAAAAGAATAAGAGAATGCAGTTAGGACAAATATACAAGAAAATTGACTTTGTGCAGTTATTTAGAAAACTGCATACAAAGTCTTTAGTACCATAAGTGCAAAACACTTTTATTCACTTAATAAAAGTGTTTATTAAGTGTTTTAAAGACCATTTACATTAAGTGAAAAAAACATGCTGAAAGCTATCTGATAGAGCTCTCCAGTTCTATAAAAAAATTATGGATGAAGTAAAAGACCTCATATGACAGAGATTGTCTTCTTGATTAGCTTATTTAACTGTTTCCTCTCCTGTGGATAGGCTGCTACTTCAATTTACTAAATCATAAATTATGACAAATGTCACCACCGAATCAAAAAAAAAGGTATTCAGAAGCACCTCCTGCACTCCAAAACCTCTGCCCACACAGCAGGTAGAGTCTGCACTGACCATTACTGTAAAGAGGAATCTGAAATCTCCCGTTATATGTTTCACATCTTCCTGTATGTTTCCCCAATATGTTTAATTTTAACACTTGATAGTAGGACAGAGTGCAATGTTCTGCCTGGTACAATTTTGAATAAAGAAACAAATCATCTAGCTTTAGGTTTCTGACATATTCTTGTCACAAGATGGTGCTGTTGCACATTATAAAGTTGAAATGTCACCACAACAACAAAGTACACGAGTTGGAGTTTCAGATGACAGAAGCCAACCTACCTACTATATTGGGAGGAAATTCATGTATACCTATGGACTAATAGAGAGAATATTCATAGTGGACTTTAAAGGAGAAACAAATGTCCTGTAACAGTGGCTTGATGTGTTTTTTTTAGAAATAGGCTGTGTACCATGAAGACATCACAGTCAGACTGATCTCGTAGTTACTTCTGCAGTGCATCCACTCACGAAAGCATTTGGCATTAAGAAAAATATCAAACCTGAATAGAAAAAGAATGGAGTCACTTGTTAAAAAGCAAACAGAGCCTGACTGAACAAATAGTATGGTAACATTACAAAGACAAAAATAAAGGGATTTCTGTTGATTCCCTTTGAAAGACATAAAGGTAAGACCTCCCACTTTGAGCAGTCATAGACATCATTGCAAAGATGCAAAATGCAAAGACCTTTTCAGTATTGGACCTGAACTATGGATTTTGGCAAATTCAACTATAAAGATATTTCTGATTTGTGCACATTTAACACTGGTCAATGCAGACTCATAACATTGCCTTTTAGAATCTCACTAATAACTATTTTTTTCAGAATGCATTGCTCAAAGGAACTCAAACGAGTTGTGAACATCAGGGAAAATATTCTGGAATGGGGAAAAGACAGAAAACAACAGGCAAAAGAATGAGACAACTCTTAGGATAAAAAGCATCAACCTCAAGCTTAACAAAGACAAATTCAAGATTGGAATAGCTGAAATTCATTATTTCATACTCTCAGCACAGAAGGCAAAAAGCTAGACAAAGAAAAGGTCATAGCTATTGCAGAAATGCCAAAACCCACAGAATAAAGCATCACTGATAAGGTTTTTCAGTATAGTGCAGAACCTGTCAAAGTTCATCCCAAACTTCAAGGTGAGTGCACTGTTCAGCAGGCTTTCAGAAGGTGGTGTTGAATGGCACTGAGAAAGACAACAGCAACAAAAGGGATTGTGTTGCTTGCCTGAATCCGAGATGATCTCCAGACGGAAGTCATGGCATTTTTCTTTTTGTGCTTAAGATGACCGCCATATTTATTGGAAACAATGTGGTCTTCCAAGACCTGTTCCAGGATATCTCTAAGACGTTCAGTGCTATGTTCAGGCACAAAGCGCTCATCCGATGGTACGCTGGTGAGGGTGTGGATGAGATAGAGTTCACTGAAGTGGAGAATGAATGATCAGCTGTCTGACCAGCAGCAACAGGATTTCACTGCTGAGGAGGGTGAATATGATGAGGAGGGTGAGGGAGACTTGGCCTAAATCTAACTCCAATGCAAACTCAAACCAGCTTCCAGTATATAGTCTATTTTCAAACTCCCGCATTGAGTTTCCTAAAGCAAAGTATTATTGTTCAGTTCAAATGTCAAAGTCAAACTTAAAAGCACAAACAGAACCCCAGAGACATTTCGCCCCCTGAGAAAAAACAGATTTATTAACAAGAGGTAATCAGGAAAGAGTACACTTTTATACAAAACTGGAAATACTACTCAAGCTGTTGAAATAGACTGAAAGATAATTCTCATGTCACTGGGTATTGCTCACTGCAAACATCTGGTGTTCCTGCTGGAGGATACAGATTGAAGGGTGCAAAGGTAGGGTTTAAATACAGTACACATACCATTCTGTATATATATAGATTGGATCTGAAAACATAAAAGTGGTACATGCCTGCCACTTAAGCTTTAGGTGGCTCTCTATATAAAGCCTGTAAAAAATACATATAAATATTTCAAGAAGCACAATAATACTACTGTGTAGCTCCTGCTAACACGTTGGGATAGAATGTAATACACTAATGTTGCCTTAAACATTTGTTTCAAAGTGGCGTAGACAGGAGAGTAATTATAGCTTTTAACAATGATAAGGATAACACATTTCTTGGGATGTGTCTTTGAACACATTGCATGTTAGGAAACGCATCAGACCGTCTGTACATTATACTACATGCAGTCAGTTTATTTTATTGGCAAATTGTAGAACAAAGAAGTTTAAATACTTTTGTGTAATATAATCCATTTCATGATTAAGGAAAAATCATAATGCACAAACAAAAGAGGATTTTACCCTAAAGACTGCACTTTCTGTGTCTGAATATTGAAGCTGAGAATTTTAACTTTTGTAAGTGGCTCAAAATCTGTTACATTTTGATGCTACATACATTGCCTGGCGCTTATACTGTATAGATACGATGCTGCCCACCAGGGGAAAAAAGTAAGCAAAGCATTAAAAAAAAAAAATCCAAAACTATAAAGAAATTTTCTGTTTGTCTGCAGTATTTTTTTTACATGTTAATTGGCCAGTGGATACATAAAACAGATTGTGATTCAACTTTCGCCACTACCTTAGTCCCACTTTTCCCTCTAATCAGCTGAAAACAACAGCTTTAAAACATTTCAAAATTAATATAAATTAACAGTCATGCATTAGTAGTTTTAATACTACATAATACATCACATACTTTCCTAGAACTCGAAAACCTTTTCCCAGTACCTAAACATGATTTTCCTAAGCTTACCAGAAATGTTCTAGAACTTTTGTAAAGTAACCAAAATAAGTGGCAGAATCTAGTAATTTGGAAGAAATCTTGTAAGTTTTAGAAAGAAAACTGTTTAAATCCCAAAATGTACCTGGTAGCTTTTGGAAAGTACCCAGAATTTGTTTTTTTTTTCCAGTAAGTTCCAAGGAGGTTCCAAGAAAGCACCTTGGAAGTTCAACGAAAGTAATTAGTAAGTTCCAAAAAACCTCCAGTAAGGTACGTAGTATGTTCTGGAAGGTAAAATTAAAAAATTGGAAAGTCCTGTCTATGTCCAGAAAGTAGGGCTGGACAATATGGCCGAAAAAATTTATCATAATATGAGATTTCACATCAGTCAATATTGATAACTGACTATATTTTAAGAATGTGAAATACTTCCTAACTGGTGGCATCATCTTTTGTATTTTATCCATAGTTTTTACTCCCCACTGATGTTTGTTATTTTTAAGCAGTTTTAAACATTGCTGAAACCTTAAACTGCTTCTGCACAGGTAACCAAAAAGTGAGTGAGTTGCTACTAGGTAACCAAAGAGTTATCGTCCAGAAAATATGTGGTAACTTTGGAGAAATAATCAGAAAGTTTCATAAAAACCTATTAAAAGTGCCTGGTAAGTTCCAGGAATGTAACTACTATGTTATATGAAACTTATTTCTGAGAAGTAACTTCTAAGAAGCTGAATGACAGTAACTGCAAAGATCTGAGAAAGTAGCTAGTATTTTCAGGAGAAGTACAGGGAAGTAACTTCGAAGTTCCAGGAAAGCCTCTCGTATTTTCCAGAAAGTGACATTTGAGCTCAGGCTTAGTAAGTAGTAAGATCCTAGAAAACACCTGCTCAATTTTAGGAAAGTCAGTATGACATTTGATTAAACTTAATAAACAAAGTGTTTATTAAGTTTGGAAAATGAATCTTTAAGTTCTGGGAAAGTAACCTCCAAGTTTGCTACTCTGTTGACTGTTATACGTGGAGTCACGTTCAACGTAGATTGCTATCTTAAAAATCCACGTACAGTCTGTATTTGTAATCACTTGAAAATCCCATTTGTGTGATTTTTGACAAGTTAAATAATTTTGTAACAGGAACATTCAGAAAGTCTATTTCCCGCAGACTCTTGACTTCCCACAAACTGCCATTTTCTCATGAATGAGAAATATGTGTCACTCTCCAGTTGCCCATTTAGATATACTAAAATATCAAGTCTGTAAACACTCCTTTCTATCTGCTCTCTAGTGCAAAATAAACAGGTCATAAATTAGCATTTAAGACAATATAGAACATATAAATACTTTATAACTATAGAAATAAAACCTCTGTGGGCTTCTATTCAATCTCTAATAACAATAATACACAGAATTCATTAGGAAGCAAATACAAGGAGGGCACAGCCTATTGTATCTAATACAAATAATGATAAATGTACATGTTGAAACCTTCTCTGCAGTCTCTGTCTGATCACAACATAATTTCTCTTCATGATGACGTTTTGGGCTCAATTCTCAGAGATGCTTCATACAGGCTCTCCTCATCCATCACTGTGCTGTTGTCCAGCAGGTATTTTGCCACCTGGAGCAAAAAAGCACATACATAGTACACTGAAAGGAATTTTTTCTTGTACTTTTAAGATCTCCCTTCGGAATGGACAATTAATGAAAGAGTAATTGTGGTTGAGAAAGCACTTTTCTTTGCAACTCAGAAGGTCAAACAAACTGAAACTCAATTAAAAGGCTATCTTTCTCTTATCTGTGTCAGGAGTCCTTTAGGAAGACAAATAAAGCAGCCCTGCATGTTTATCATAACAAATGCTTATAAGTAGACATTTCTTTGAAATTTTCTTGTGAAGAAATGAACATGTATTGAACTATATAACCTATTAGTAGTCATTTGTGTAATTTGGAAACTTGTTGATGTCCCATTTTGAGATTAAAGTCAAAGGACAAGGAGAAAGAAAATCAATATGTGGAGAAAAAGTTAGAGAGATTGTTTAGAGAACAAATATATTTTTAAAGAAATTGTGAAAATGTAAACTTCAAACTGAGTTAAAAAGTGTTTATGCATAAGACAAAAAAAGTCAGCAAAAGTTGCAATGGTGAGAAAAAAACATTGAATATGGCCACACCCACTGGCCCAAGCATTAGCATTTTGTCCTTTTAGGACATTACTTCTATTTTAGTTTGATATTTTGACTTTATTTGTGAAATAATTTGCCATATTTTCCTCCACATTTATTTTGATATTATCTTCTTGACTTGGTAAACTGTTACTTATGTTACAGTTATGTTACTATGTTTCTTACAAATGTTTACACCTAGATAATTTATTAGATGTCTGCCTTATAGTGACAGCTACTTTTTTTGTCATTCAGGTGAATATTTTTTTAATGATAATGATCACGTTTAATGTTTGACTTACAGCCATCAATTTTCTCACCTTAGGCTGAAAATCTATCTTGTAAGCAGTTTGCTGAAATTGTCGGATCTCTCTGATGATGTGGGAAATCTGGAGGCATGAAACAGTTTCGTGTCATATTCAACCATTTTATAGCAAATTGTTATAGTACAAATTAAAGGGCTCTGTCTTAATTGTGATATGAGAGTTTTGTCTACCATTCTCATCTTGGAGAAGTTGACCAGGTTGTCCTCTGTGTAGTTTGGTGTTCCCTCTTCAATGAAGGCCAAGTCAGTCAGGTACATTCCCAGGTAAGGAACACATGGAGGGTCACAGCTGAAAGGAGTGGGCAGGTTACAGAAAGAGACAAGTGTAAAATAAAACAAACAAAGACAAAAAAAGTTCTCCAAAGTGATAAAAACAGACAAATACTTACTTTTTCAAAGCCTCCCTTAGGTTTTTGAAGCGGCCTTCTGACGACACCAGCTTCTGCAGCTTGTCAATCACAGTTTTCGTCTAGAAAGTGAATCACAACTAACTTGTTACTGCTTGGAAAATCTCTGTACTCAGATTTTTAATGTTACTTTATGAGATGATTTTAATATATTATATCTATATCCGTATTTCTGTCTCTGTTTTCTTTCTTGAAGTGTTTTTTCTTGTCAAGTTTTCTGCTATGTTATCAAAACTAAATTAATTTGAGTTGAGGAATATTTTTCAGCTAGAATAATGTATATGCTAAAGTTAGGAAGCAACCCTGAAAACAATCATATATGAATCAGAATGTTTGCAAAAAACTAAGAAAAGGCAAAAGTATCTGAACTGACACTCATACTGTACCTGCTTGGACACTTTCAACCAGGTCCGCTTGAGGCGGAAGATGGAGCTCCGGTTGAGTGAGGATGTGATCTCCAAAACGGCGTTGTAGTTGTGAAGGCAGCGGCAAATGTCCGCCACGGCCACCCACTTCTCAATTACTCCCACCCTCATGTTGACGTCATCCCAGTGAAGGATTTCTGAGGCGATCCTGTTACTGATCTAAAACAGAAACACACATACACATGTAGTAATACTTTTGAATGTGGCTCACGGGTAATGAGATGAACAAATTCAATGTCTGAGAAAAAAATTAATATTGTAAATAGTATATAACACATTAGCAGTGATAACACAGCCTTGACAGGATTGTGAAAGAAAAGACAAACAAGGTTGTAGACTGTGGCCAGAGTCAGTGGAAATCTAAATGTGATTTTGAAGCAACTGCAGAGAGAGTTCAGATTTTAGAGAAATGTTGCCTCAATCTGCTGGTAAGCTTTCTGGAGAGCCTGATTTCAGATTCTAGCAGTACATGGCACCCACTTACACAACCAAAAGACTAATGCCTACTTTAAGAACTAAGGTATTATTGTGCTCGATGGACCAGCGAACTCACCTGCCCTAAACCCGTAGAGAATTTAGGGATTATTGTTAAGAGAAAGACAAAATAAACCATATGCAAAACTGCAGAAAACTTAAGACCACCATTAAAGTAACATTGTTTTTTTATAATGTCATGGCAGTCGGTGGCAGAATCTAAATAATATAATTAAAATTTTTGAAATCAAATTACCAGGTTAATACGTATTTTAATGATATTTTAATTTAATAAGATCACTTATAAATCTGTAAGAAGGATGTTATCACATACATCATTAAAATGCTTGGTTGTTTTCATTATGTATGGTGTTCTCTCATTTTTGTCGTTCTTCATCCAGCCTTGTCCAAAGAACTCCCTATAGAGAAAGAAATAAATACGTCATAAAAGAATATTTAAACACACTATTCATTCAGCATCAAGTGAACACTGAGCGTTCTTCAATTTCCTTTTGCTAAAAGTAGTCCTTGTCTTGTTTCTATTCAAAGGTTTGCATGTAGGCTACTCACTCATAAGGGATAACTTTAAAGACCAGGTGGTCCAGCATTGTCAGTTGCTCGGCAATCTCCAAGGCAGAATGGTTCTCAAATGGTTCAGTCTTACTTTCTTCCATAGCCTAAACACACACATATACACATGCACACACACACACAACCAACTCATTATTAATCCTACAGCAGTAACAGTCTGGCAGATTCAAAGAGTTTTCTCACGCCTACCATCTGGGTGATCTCCTCAATGCTGGCCTGGCTGTCTCCAGGATCCTCCTGAGTGAGAGTCCTGAATGCAAATAGCAGTGACGCCTGTTTCAGCAATTTCTTCAAAGAGGATTTAGTTTTTATACGACAACTTAAGAGCTACTCAGCATTCCTGCATGTTAAAAGATTTAGTCACACCACAACAACAAGACTGATTTTACCCCACTAGTTTGTTAACACTGTCCTTTTTTGAGAATGGGGTTTATCTTTTTTCTACTCTCTGTGTCTTTGCAGTTACTGTCCAGGAACATTTTACTCATGATTTACGAGGCTAGTCATTATGTGAACAAATCTATGTTCTTTCAAAAATGTTATTTTCTACACCATTCTTTCACAGAAAGGCATCATATATGACTATGTAACGGATCATGCAATGAAGAAGGAAAACCAACCTGATGATGTTGGCAGCTGCTTTTCTTTCCTGTGTCAGGAGCTCTGGGTCATGCATCACCTCCTCCAGGAAGCCAATTACCCGCATCTTCAGCTCTGTGTTCAGCTCAAAGTCCTGAGGAAACACACAAGAACAACCACAGTGTTATTACACAGGTCTTATTGTACTGCTTCAAAAACAGAAGGAAAAAAAAAAGAAAAGAAAGGGTCAAAGTTCACCTGTGAGTGTTTGGATACCCAGTGACGCAGCACATTCAGGACTCTATTTGTAGCGGCTCTGCGAATAACAAACTCTTTGTCTCCGTTCCTCTGATCTGTAGGAAAACCTGGAATCGGGGTTAATGCAGTTGGATTTATTTTTCTTAAATAGCCTGCTCCTGCACTAATGCCTCACTAATTTGCTTCTGCTGTAGCTAGAAAACTGCTTCTTAAACGTGGATGAGAAATATAAACATTGTTTTAGTTCAAACTTTTTGAATCTCCCAAAATGTAAGCATGTAATAAAGCCAGATGAATTTATTCACCTCAAATGTCACAGAAATTGAAAATAAAAACAACCATGCAACAGATGAAAATGTTTCCCTATAAGTAACATAGTTGGAAATAAAGATTTGAAATGTTTACAAAACAGTATTTATTAAATTAATTTCCTTAGTGTCAAAATTCACTTTAGGGTCTTGTTTATTTTCTGAAGTAATTTTTTATTTTTAAGTAAAAGTAGAAGTAGCTGGAAAATGTTGATATATTGGACTTAACCTTTTCCACACAGGTTAAAATTATATATACAAGCTGAAATATATAGATATGTCCCTCTTAAATTTTGTCAAATGTCTTCCAGCTAGTTTTGATATGCTATTCTGCACATTGTTGGAATAATTCTACCAAAGTACTTTTCTCTGTAAAATTAGTACAATTATTGTGCATTGTTGCTCAACATCTTTTTTTTTCCATTATTTGGAATCGTTACTTTGATACCACTTATGTTGAAGTTTCAACCATGCAGTTGTTGGTTTGTGGGGAAGTTGAAGGTAGTCTCTCTTCTGTCTTTTTGCAATCCACCATTTGACATGATAACAAGAAAGCCCCAACAATCATACCACCACCACCATTCCTGAGAGTAGATACAATATTTTAAGGGTTTAAAAAAATCTTTGTCTTGTTTTACCATACAGCTGCTTTCCAGTTCATAGACAGCTTGTACCTGAATATTATTCTCTCTAATTGTCTGAGTGTGACTGGCATACTGTCACACTCAAACAGTCTGACGTGGGCTCAAGTAGTTGAAAATTGAAAAAGTATTTAAACTTGACTGAACTGGTTTAGACATTAACCAACTCTACGTTTCTGGATTGAATAAAAAAACAGCATAATTTGGATACTGGTTCTGTAACCAAACAATGGTTGTTCATTTTTGGTATTCAAGTGCTTCAGACAGTGTTATAGAAGCAGCTCTGCCAGTAAATAATGGTATGTTACTGACCTGTGCTGGCGAGGGACATACGGCGGTATTTTTCCTTGGTCGGCGTTCCTTCATTGGCACCAGCTGTGGCAATGGCAAAGGCCGAGGCAGCGGATAGGGCACTGCGGTTATTCTCAAGCTCCCGGCAAGATGACACCACCATGCCATTGTTGAAGGAAAACAGGGAAAACTCTAAATATGGGAACATTAAAATTGCAAACATTTAATTTATTGAAAAAACACACACAAAAATATATATATTACACCAAAGAACATTTTCTGTAAGGAGAGAATTTTTTCCACATTAGCCCCTTTAATTTTTCGATCTTGGCATTAGGCTGTATAATCAAACTGTTGACCGTTGGAGGGCAACCAAGAGCTGAAACCGATGTAGAACAGCGTGTCCTGCATCTCACGGCAATGACGGTGAATGCTCCGCTGTGCCTGCCTCTCTGCCTCCCTCCATTACTCACTTCTTCGCCCCGCTGCCTTCCTCCGTTCAGCCGGGGGAGGTATAGAAGAACACGCACATCGTTGCTAAGGTACAAGGTTTCCTTCCACCTACTCACACAAGGCACTGGCTTCCCTTATATCCAGCAACGTGGGAAGAGAACACACTGGGGATGGATTGTGCTTGACTACCTACGGGGTGGATGCTCTCTCGTTATATGACATAGGGAGGGAGGGCCAGGATGCCGTGGGTGGTTTTTATCAAGACCTTATTTGGCTGTACCTGTCTTTCGCTTTCTCCAAAACAAAAAGAAGTTTGTTCTAAGTTTGCCGATGCTATCTTTATTTACTTTGAGCAGCTAGAAAAAGTGGTGTTGCCGTTTTAGTCTTGTTGCAGTAGATGACATTAAAATCAGAATTTTACACTGTGCATCAAATCAGGCCCAGAAACTTGAGACATCAGCTGCATCTGATTCAACTTGTTTTGTTTTTCTCACATTTTGAAAAGTCAGCTCTTTCATGTTGCACATTGCAGTTAAATTATCTTGCAGAAGCAGTTATATCCTTGAACATTTTCAAATTTTGCTTTCAGGTGATAGATGAAGTGGTCGAAAAAACAAGTTGGGAAATATGAGCATTCACCAAAGAAGCATCTAAAGGACCAAGGTATCTCTGGAGGATAGACAAAGGCCCACAGCAGCTCAGATGTAACAATCTGTGGATGGGACAGACTGTTCCCGTCAGCAGACTGTTCTAGTCTTGTACTCAAGTATCATTTAAAGTTTGCCAAAAGCCATGCAGGAGATACTGCAACCATGTGGAAGAAAGTGCTCTGCTCAAATGAGAGAACAATTTAACACTCTATTCCCATGGTGAAACAGGGTGGTGGCATCATCATGCTGTGGGGATACTTTTCTATTCAGGAGAAGTTAATTGAAAGGGATAGGATTAAAGCTAGGAGTAACCTGGAAGAAAATCTGTTAGTGCCTAGAGAAAACTTGAGATATTCGGTGTATTTCTACAGGAAATCAAAGCATATTTGTGTGTTAGTATGGTCCAGTCAAAGCCCACACTTAAATAAAATTGAGAAATTGTGGCCATGTTTCCAATCTGACTGACATTTAGGTATCTTTTAAAGAATAGTTTTCTATACATTCTGTCTATATACGTGGACATTGTAGAGACAAATCTCAATTGTGTTACAGCTACAAATCCCTAACCCTCAGCAATTTTCCAGCCCCATTATATCTGGAAATCTTTTTTTTTTTTACTTTTTAAACTGCTGAACTGGTTTTTGAACTAGTTGATTTCAAAGTGAAGCAAGCTGAAGAATAGGAACAGCTTAATGTTGATGAGCTGTACTATACCTGAGTTTTTTGACTTGACATTCTTGGGTGTCGACGGTGACTTGGGAGGAGACATTTCTGATTCTGCCTCATCACTCTGACTCTGCTCCTCATCACATTCCTCTCTGACAGACCGATCTGGATCCAGAATTCAAAGGGTAGTACAAATATAAGGAAGAGCACAAAATGTGAAGAGAGGAAAATAAAATAACACAATAAAATCACAACTAAAATGACCTTGAACAACTCTTGATATTTACCTAAAAACAATCCTCCCTGAACTTAAACAGCCCAATGGGAAACTACATTGAAAAAATGAATCCGGCAGCAGTTCTGACCTTGCTTGCCAGGGGCGGACTCTTCAGCTTTGCCCTCAGATTTGGACTCTCCCTCATCAGGGATTTTGCTGGCCATTGTACTGGACACGTAGAGCTTGTTAATGTCAAGCGTGGTCTTGCTGAAGGGTGACATGGTTGTGTGCATGCTTGCATAGCCATTGGGAGAGCAGCTGAGTGCTGCAAGGTCCAGGGCCTTGCCCCCAGTGATGATGGGGATGTTGAGTGAAAGTTTGCGTCGGCGGTTTGGAGAAGAATTCTTGGTGATGGAAAGAGGAGGCGGCGAGGAGAACTTGCGGCTGGCACGTGGCGACGTGGGTGGCTCACCATAAAGGAGTTTGTTGTTCTGGCTGCTGGCAAAGAAGAGCTCCAACGAGCTGCAGGAAATGGGGAAAGACAGAGACAGGTGACCAAAGACAAAGGGTGAATTGTTAGATTTCAAATTTCGGTTTGAATACAAGACGATCTCAATAAGAGAGTGAAACAACAATGGCTATAATGGGGTGGCACTGGGTGTCAGATGTCAGAAGAAGTCAAAGCACCGCGAGGCTCCTTGGGAGCTCCTGCCTCTTTTATTTAAGCTACTTTGTTTAAGACAGCATCCTCCTTGCTCTGAGAGCCACCCCCTTGAAGGCCTATAAATAGCATGTCAAGTGACAGTGTGGGAGGCACGGGTGCTGCCAACAGCAACCAGCCCAGGGGAGGCCCACAGAGACACGGGGATAGAGAAACGGAGAGAAAGGGGAGCCAAATAAACAAAGAAGAAAAGAGAGAGGAAGAGACTGGGCTTCAGTAATAACACAAGACAAGCAAGGCTGAAAACAGCGATACAGAGAGGGAGGGCACCAGAGAGGAGCAACATAGTTGATATGGATTCCACCACAGCGCAGGTTGCTGGCTGCGAGTGGGCGAATGGGAAGTCTCCAGCCCTGTATGATGCTAGCTGCAGTCATCGCGTGTCTCCGTGTGGAAATTTAAGAAACACTTTTCAGAGGAGAAAAGCATTTGAAATGATGAGACCGAGTGGGGTAGAGGAAAGGTGAGAGAGAGGTGAACTGAAAAGAAGTCGAAATAAAACGAAAAAGTCAAGAGTGTAAAAGAGTGCAAAAAGAGGCAAAGACTGCATGTTTTTGACCAGAAAACAACAGGAGGAATATGACAAAAAGGATGAAGGTGGAGAAGAAGAGAGCAGGGTGCAAAGCACCAACATCAATATTTAATACCATGGAGCTGTTGCAGATGATGGGGAAGACAGGAGAGAGGGGGAGAGGGTGGGGTCCTGCAGCAGAGTAGAAGGTTGCCATGGTGACAGCGCTGCAGTGAGAGGGATGGTCAGACTCACGGAAAGAAAAATAAAAGCAAGAGAAGAGCAAAGGGTAAGACGAGAAATGGGAGAAAGAGAAGAACCGGGAGGACAGAGGATCCGATGGCGGAGAGAAGATGCGCTGCTGTGACCTCTCACTGCCTCCTCCTCAGTCCCTCGTCAGCCGGACCGGGCATGGCAGCATGATGAGGTTTCTCACAGACAGTCCATGTGAGAGCAAAGGCCAATTCAGTCACTGGGGAAGTCCCACCTCCTCACTGCAGCATTACAGCACCGCTACTGCATCCTCAGGTGGAGAAGTAAGGGAATCTCAAACGGTGTACAACAGTAGCAGCGATAAACCAAGTAAGAGTTCAGTGTAGCCAAAGCATACACTTTATCTAACTTTGACCAAATAAAAGGTGATATGTATAAAGCTGATGCAAAAGTCCAAACAATGCGAAATTGCGTGGTGAAGTTTGAGTCTCAGTTATTTACCCTGATTATAAGATAAATAGAAATTCATCTTGTGAAGTTAATAATGATGTACAGTAGGGGGTGGTGTGGGGTCTGGCAAAGGGAGCTGTGGCTATGCCTTCCTTGTTGCTGCCGTCCAGTTTAACATGCCACCCCTTGTGAAACTTTCTATAAACTACTCTGATCTTGTAGCTTTCACTCAAATAATCCCAGGATAAATTTTACTAGTCTGAGGAGAAAACATGACATTGTTCTATTTTCATTCAAAAGCACAGTTTTTGTTTTGTCAGATCGGGTGAGTTTGCTTTTCCAAAGGATTTGAAATATTTACCAAATCTAACTTCTTAGATATATAAAAAACATGCCTTAAAATAGGCTGGGAGAGGAAAATTGAAATAGTCTTCAATAGATTTTCCTTTAATCTATTTAAAAGATGTGAAATTGTTAACAGGCTACACTAGAAGTTAGAAACTTTTTATAAAATGTACAATTGGGTATTCCTCTACAAAACAAGTAATGTGTGTTAATACACATTACCAGAAGATGGAAGAACACCGGTGTCAAATGTTTATTATGAAACACAAATAATCACTCCAACATGTTTCAGTGTATTGTGGCATACACCGAGGAACACAGAAAAACACACAATTAATCACTGGAAAATCCAAGAGAACAAGCTGTTCAAAGTCTAAACAAAGATTCAAAATCTCTGATGAGGTAACGGTGTAAGCTGCACTTCCTGTGTGTCACCACCTGCTACAAATCTTTTATAAAATGGCCACCAGAGACACTGATGTTCCCTGAAACCCCCAACCAATGCAAACTCACTCTTTTGCAATGCCTCCCCATTTTTATGTTTTAAATCTGAGCAGTGAACACACAGAACTGAGACTCTTTTATCTTGCAAATTCAATAGAATATTTGCCAGTAACTAAAATGTACTTTGGAGTAATCCTACATACCGTGCGGGGATGGCACTGATTGGTTTCTTGTAGATGGTGATGAGCTTGTCCAGGACTATGTCTGCACTGGTGAAGACGCGGTATGAGTGAAGGAAGGTATTGAGGAAGTCAATGGAGAGAAAGCGTAAGTCGATCAGCCTCTCCAACAGGCGCTCCACACTGGCGTAGCGGATCTGCAGTACCTTGCATGAGTTCATCATCTTGCTGAAGCGAATGTCGACATCATCACAGTACAAGCTGGTATCTGACCTATAGAGTATTAGATATTATTAGAGGGTGGGAATACTGCTCTCTTGGCTTGCGTTTCCTGCATTAATGCTACCCAATTTTTGGGAGAGTAGGAATTTATCATTTTTATTCATATATGTTTATTTCCCCAGAAGGAGAGAGAGATATTTCACTGCTGTACACAATGTAAAAGTACCAAGTCTAGCTTCTTAGATATATAAAAAAACAAGCCTTATCAAGTTTTATCCCTACAAAGTTGTAAAAAAAACATCTTGTACCTGTTTATTCTACCAGAAATTAAAAAGATTTTAATAGTACATCCTTAATCATCCAAGGCTTTTGGAAAATGCAAATGATAGCTTCTACATCGATGATGCTTTATATAGCTTAATTTTCTTGTATGTATATTTGATTAAATGCTTGACTTAAGGGCATTAACTTAAAATTGGACAGCAGAAGATAAATTTGTAATAGTGAAGACAAGCACACCTAGGTCTTAACTGATATTGAATGAAGTTCACCTTAATCATCAAGGTCTTTTATAGCTGTAGAGAAAATATAATTGCTTCGGTGAAAAACCTAAGTGAACCAGCTAACTCTCTTAATTAAAAAAATGATAAATTCTTAAAAATTAAAAACATTGTACATACTGTATATTTACTGTATATACACATGCTCTTAAAAACTAGAAAGTTCAACTGGGAAACAATAAAGTTTTATGTCATATTTGTTTTTTTGTTTTTTAACCAAGGAAAGTGCAACAATATTAAACATAAAAGAACAGATACATGAATATTTTCAAAATATGGTGATTTACAACCGTTGATTCAGATCAATTTTTGTACTCCTAGTTAACAAATTATTTGTGCATTGGTCATTTTATATCTACCCCTAATGTCAGTGTTTGACTTTGTGTTTGTACCTTATGTGTGCATTGTTATGCACATGACTCTTACTTAATCATTTGTGGCACTGTGACTTTACTGTTTTCCTCGAAGGCATTCATCATTAGACCGTTGCAGCGGATGTTGTCGATGCACTGCAAGACAGAAAGTACACAGAAAATTGCTGTCTGTCAATACAAAGATGCAGGAGGGACAGAAGTGGAGAAACATTTTGATGCTGCAGGTCTCTTTGCTTCCTCTTGACCAACAATAAAAAAGAGTCTTTGATTTATGATGGACTTTGTTTCCCTGATTGCATCCTTGTATTTGACTTTCAAATCTCCATAAACAGTTTTGATGATGCTGATTAAACAGGCAAACTTTTCTCTCTCCTTGTTTTGCCCCCCCCCCGGTTTGATTACTGTTTCTGCACCTTGAGGAGAAACTTACCTGACTTATATCACTTGTCCATGCTGACTTCTCCTGTCGTGATGACGCTACGAGGATGACAGTGTAAGGTTGGCCTTCTTTGGGCTCCACCATAACTTTAAAGTCCAGATGTTCTGCATCCTGGCCGCTTCGCTCCCCTTTGGCTGCAGGTCAAAAAATGTTAGAAGTCTTGCAATGGCAACTATTGCTGCAAAAGATTTAACCTGAATACTGAGAGTGTCCTAACAATGGACAATTATTGACTGTACTCTTTATGACTCACTTGATTTATTAGAACTTGGCTGGAGAATAATACATTTGAAAAACCTCCTCAAGTGTTGTGATAAGCTTGTTCATATGTTGTCACATTGCAGCCCTAAACATTCACAGATTTTACTGAAATTATAGCATCTGTGTTTTATCCATGCATGTTCATTGTAATTACCTTGTTAAAAAAATAAGATTAGATAAACCAGAAATAATAACTTACACTCATCGTCTGTCCCCTCGGGCTCCTCCATTAAGGTAGAGTCTATGAGAGACACCACTCCATTCTAGGACAGGATTGAAAGGTCACAGGAAAAAGTTTTTTCATACTTTTTTAAACCCTTTCTGAAGATTTCATTGACAGCATTAACAGGATCTGTACTATGTGCTCTAAACACATGGAAGCCACTTTTAACCTCCAAATTTGTTTTAAATCAATACCAAACTTACTTAGTTAATCTGTATTTTGTTTCTTTAGTTGTATACCTTTATAAGTGCAAACCATGTTTTACCTTTGTGATGTGAAGTTTTCCTCCTGATCCTCGGGTACAAATGATGAGATGTTTGGAGAAAAGGAAGCACTGTCTCTCTCCTTCCTTCTTCAGAGACAGAGAACCCAGGCGGCCTCTTGTGATTTTCCCTTTTTCACTCATTGGCACCTGAATTAGAGAACCTGTCCAAACGTGCACACACATCAAGTTATGCACCATTAACATGCAAATATTCTAGCCTTTTCTACATTATATATGATTGATTCATTATTATTTGAGTTAGCAAGCTTTCAATAGTTTTTTCTGTGTTTCAAGTTGTTGTATGCAGTATGTATGTTTTCTATTTTACAACATTTATTTATTAATCAGAGCAAGTAAGCAATCAATCCTCTCTTACCTTGTCTCACAAATGTTTGGCTGGTGTCAAGCAACACTTCACAACCCTCCACAATCATGCGCTCGATGGCCAGGTTCTTCCTGATGTTCTCTGTTTCACTCACCTCATCATGCATGATTCTAAAAGGAACAACAAATACTCATGCATCTCATTGAATTACAATATTCAGATCTGATTTATTTCAGAAATTAAATTCAAAAAAGTAATAGTTCATACAGTAAATTATATTGATTGCACAAAGAGTGATATTTTACAGGAACTGATTTATGTTAATTGTAATAAAATGGCCATATTGTGGTCTGAACAATGACTGACTTGACAGTTCTCCAGCAGATTCATTGTCAGCCTTCACAAGGAGGTATAGCCACAAAAAGTTATTACTAGAGAATGTTGCTGTTCACAAGCTACAGTTTATTTAAGTTCATACTGCTGAACATTCAGTGGAAGGAAAAAGTGAGATGGAAAAAATACACAAGCAACAACAGATTGTTGCAGCTTTGTGACAAAACTCCATTAAAAAGTTTTCTTAGTAACTTGGATCTCCTTAGTGACACCGCTGGCATGGCCTCCAAACCAGGTTCATCTCAGTAAGTAAAAAATATTATTTAGCAAGATAAAACTACACTAAAAAAACAGGCACCTTAGTCTACACTCTGTACATCTTATAATTGTGTCAATGAATCTGGAGTCACCTGGAGTCAGTTATTATTTGAATTGTGAATTTTCTTAAAAGAAGATGGACAAAAAATAACTCTACCTTGACAATTCTTCCAGTTTTGACTTGGCATAGTCCAAACTGTTTCTTTCCACATGCTCATGAGGAGTATGAGCCAGTAACTCGTGCAATGTCAGGATGTAGCGAGGGATCTGAAAAGACGAAGGAAATATTTTTCAGTTTAGTCTGACTTTTAGCATGTTCCTTGAATTTAAACATTCTATCAGTTTGAGTACCAATAACTCAGTTTAATCAGTTTTAAATAAAGTAAGCTGCCATCAAGTGTATATTAAAGTATATCTCAGAATGATTGATGTGCTTGTGATGAAGTTTGAAAACCTCCTCTAATGTTTATTGGAGAAGCTGTCAGCTGAATTGATACAAAACATCTCTTCACTCATTTTCAACAAAATGCCATACAGTCACAGACTCAAAAGGAAAGATGTGGCTTTTTTAACACGACTCTTTTGGTTGCTTGAACTGTGATAGACAGCACAAAATATCAGAAAAAAGTTTGATCTGCATTTCTAATGTCTTCCAACAGGTGCACAATGGGTGTTTAATTTCAAAATTAACCTAATTTACCTCTAAAAGTGAATTGAAGTGTTTTTCTTTTTTTTTTCTTTTACATTTTGCTCATGCTGCAATTTGTGAATTTTACCTGGAACATGGGGTAAGTGAGGAATGTCTCCAGCGTCCTTTCCTCACAGTCAGGCTTGGACTCGTACTGCTTCAGCAGCTTATCAAAGTCTCTGTTCTGCTTGCAGTGGGCCAGGATCTGCAAACTGTACTGATGGTTCCTCACAAATTCTTGATAGATGTTCAGCATGGGCAGCAGGATGTCAAACAGGTCAGCTGAAAATGAAAACAGAAACAGAATTTCCAAAGATTGTTAGAACTTTAACACGTTTTTGTCACTTCTCACACATATGCACTATTTATTAAGTTCCTTTCATTCTGATACCCATAAATAAAGACCCGTGCAACCAGTTGCCTTCAGAAGTTACCTTTGAAGTAACTTCTTCCTGTGTTTAATTTATCCTCAATATAAATACGCTCTCTAACTAAGAGAGCGCTATGAAAACTGAGGAACAAAGAAGATAGTTCAAAGATAAAGTTGTGGAGAATTAATAGCAGGATAAACATGAGTATGCAATATCCTAAGATATCCTAATATGGAAAGACTGTGATGCAACTGCAACCAACAGGTGGCTGTCTGATTAAATAAAAAGAATGGCCAAGAAAAACACTTACAGTGGCAGCTTAGAAGCTTTTTAAGAGCTACAGAGAACCACAACTCAGGCAGTTTTGTCCCACGGGGATACTTTGTGGAAACAGTTCTTTCTGGTTTGTAGTTTTCCATACAGAAGTAAAGATTCATAGAGTCTCTGAGTGACTTACCCAGTACCAGTGTTGGCCAGCTGGCGATCCTGGCCTTCAGGCCCTGGTAGAAGATCTGGTGGAGGAACATGATGGTCTCACTAAGAAAACATGCAGGCAAACAGGTAAATGCTTATTGAGCAGAACCACTTTTCATTTCTCTTTCTCTTGGTAAAAAAAATTACTAAAAGAAAATTAACAGCAACCTGTTGAGGAAGATGCTGCTGACATCATCATGGGTAATGGGGGGTTTCTTGGAGCTGGCTGCCATGCGGAGCGGCCGCAGGAAGTTGTTGACTAAGATGTGGAGCTGCTGGACGTACTCGGCTTCTGCCTCCAGCATGCTGAACACCACTTGGTTTCTCTTCCGCATGCTTTCGGCGTGGGGGGAACGGATGTAGTCCTGGATGATGGTTTTCCACTTCCTGCGGCAAATCCAACCTCGCAAGAAACTTTGCACCTGTGGGGGAAAGGTATTGTATAAGGGTTGATTGGCATGCAACTTCAACTTCTCGTTATATGTAGGTTTGAGACCTGAAACCATAAACATCTAGAAAATAATACAGATTTTAAGTTCATTTTTTTACATCTGCTTGATGTTCAACTTGTCATTCAATTTGCCAATTTTCAATTAAAACACATTTACTAACATATTAGTTAGTGTTTCTGGCACACTCTGTCTAACTCTCTCCACTGGTTAAAATAAGGTTAGGAAGGAAATTTTGGAACTTTTTAAAGAAAATTTTTGGCTAAACTGAAGATCTTGTCCCTTTCCTGTCTGTATGGATTTAACTATTTTTTTTCCATCTCACTAATTATGAATCTTCTTCAGCCTTAAAAAAATGTATCACTGGATCAGCTGCATGTTACCTTCTTGATCTTCTTGATCTCTGTGTCATCCTCACTGGGGGGCACCTCTGGATTTGACTGGATCTTCTCATTTTCCCTCAGAATCCCAGAAATCTAAAAATTAAGGGAGACATTAACTAATTTAAAAAGGTTGGAAAGAACGCCGTGTCTTATGTCCTGTTCCGCATTTCTGACATGATTCAAATAAATGTGGGAAGGCACTTTAAAAATATATATATAGTTCAACTGAATCAGCTTTTTAAAATCAGCAGGCACCGCTTGACTTCATTTTTTAACAGCTAAGCCTCAATTATATTACGTTGTAGTTTTGCCTTTACATATTTCTTCTGACTGTTTTTTCGTCAAATTGGAACTTTTCAGATTCTCAGAATGAATGAATGAGTGTGAGTAGGTGAATGACTGCTCTGAAGATTCTTTCATTTATTTTTGTGCTGCAAAACTGAACTTTCATTAACTTTGTTTTGGTTAATTATTTAATTTAGGGGCCTAAGGAATGCAAACAATTAATATAACATTTGGCATACATCATTTAGGTTTGCTACATTCACTTTTTCAGCACTCAGAATATGAATATGAAAACTTTTGACAAAGAACTCATTATAAACAACATCCATTACTGGTGAATACTGTGGCCATGAAAAGGGAGAAAGCAGATTTTTATCTTGCAGTGCACCTTGTAGTATCATAAACAACAAAAGCTGACTCATGCATATTGAAAACGCTGGATTCAATTGAAACCTCCATTAGCACTTTAAAGAGAGACACATTTGATCTAGTTTAGGCTGAATAATGAGGATACAAAACATTCAGCAGTATAATAGAGTCTCTAGGGGGCACTGCGAGCTACCACTCATCATGAATTCATAACACTATGGTTTGAAATCTGTGTCAGGACCTTTGTCCTGTAAACACTTTGTGCTCTCTGCCTCATTACTTTTAGTCGCATTGTTACTCTCACTCTGCCCACTGTGTACCATGCAATTAAACAAATTCAGACATACACCATTATAGGTTTGACAAATGAAATTAGGAGGCAGCTTACCTCAGATTTGAGCCTTTCTATCTCTATTTCCCCGTCCTCTATCTGTTGTCGAAGTTGCTTGGCTACGGTTTTCTCTGTTTCCACTATCTGGAGCAGATGAAGATACTTCTGCATGAGGGTCTCATGCTCTGTGGCCAGATTTCTGTAACTGTAAAAACACACACATCCAGCCATTAATGTATTTTGCACTGGATTTTTAAATATTCCTGAAGACAAAAGCAAACATGTGGTCAGAAGGCAAGACAAGTTTATTAGCAAATTACAAATTAAAGACAAGATGATGCAAAGTAATTAACAGGAAAATTAAAGAATAACGTTACATTAACAATCAACATCAGGAAACATAAAAATAATAAAAGCATTTAAAAAAAGGAACAACAACACGAACATTTGTTGTTTATGAGAACGAGGCTGTAAACAGTGACATTTCCAGACCTGATTTAAATAACCTAATGTTTTTGAATATCACAGATTTGGAATTAATTTGAGTAGTATATTTTCACTCTGATTTCACTCTGGTTTACTTTTGTGTCTTATTGGGTGAGTGACAGATTGAGTTGAATGAAAAGAAGGATGCATTACATATAATATTTCATAAGAAAGAAAAATGAAGGTGTTGCATTTGGAAAACTTGTTTATATCTTCATCAATTTGTTAATCACTTTCACAGAATAAGTTGCTAATCTTTTAAAGAATACACCAAAGCAATAGTTATATAGACATAGATTTTTACACTAAACACTTGTTCCTCTCCCTGTTGTTTACTATAATACTACAGGCCAGCTTGCCCCTTTACAGTCACTGCTGCATTGACTGACCACTAATCAATATAATCTTGACTGAGTTCAATCCATTGACCTTTTGCTCAGCAAATGCTACCTGTCAACAACTGATGACTGCTTTCATTACACTGCTGTTCCTGATTCCCATCAAAGTTGTTACTCTCATTACATTGCTTCGTCAATAGTATTCCTCCTTCAGCACTATGTTCATAACATATACTCAGTTCAGCTGAACTAATATTTACCTGACACACACCACAGGTTTCCTAATAAAACATTTAAATTGTCATCCAAAATAAGGAGAAATAGTGGATAAGTTCTTTTGTAAATATATTTTAGGTTTAGGATTTATAGAACAAGGGCATAAGGTAGTCAATTTAATTTGGTTGCTGTTTACATCCATCACTTGTATTTATCAATAGCGGGAACAAAATCTGTTAAGTTTAAGTCATTCCATATGTTGTTTGTGAAAAGGTTTTCTTCCTGGCAAACGTGTCCAAACTGGAAGGCACTTTCTCTTAAAATGACATGTGAGAACTTGAATGGTTCCTGGCAATCAGTTTGGAGTCTACAATAGTGATGGACCACAGCTTCACGCACCAACATATGAGTTTAGTTTTGTGGTAACTTATTCAAAGTTGCTGATTCAGGTGGATTGTGGTGTGTGTTACTTACCTGGCTTGTGTGATGGCAGCCACCCATTCATCGCAGTCTTTGACATCTTCTGTGCGCAACTCCAGAGGCTTTTGGTTCTCATGACTGAAAGTGACGGTGAAGTAGAACTGGAAAATACAAAGGATGGCAGAAAGCTGAAAAGTTAGCAAGCAAAAATGAAGAAAAGAAAAAGCTGTGTTCAACTATTCTCAGGTGAAACTTACTGAAATGGAGAACAGTCAACCTTCAAGATGGAAACATTTATTTAGTGGGTAAAACATCCACATCAAACAGGTTTGATTCTGTTTGGAAAGTCATTTCTATTATTGTCTCACTGATTTAGTTTGGAAAATTATTCTGCTAAAGGGATATTGATTCATTTTCAAATTTCTCTCAGGCACAATGAGATAAAAAATTACGTTTGGTTTTATAATTGTATGTGATCCAAAAATGTTCTCAGGCTCTTTGGGAAACAAGGAAAATTCTTGAAGCATTTAATGAACTTCACACATTTACATTTGTGATGGTAAGGAAGAAAAATAGAAATAGAAGAAAATAGAAGAAATAGAAGAAAAAAAATAGCTATTATGGAGACATGATGATACTATAATTCTATTGAAATGTTTTGTTTCTCCTTTGCAATTTACACTGAGCCTCGGTTCAGTAAAGCTTTAGGCCGATGTCATGTTTTTATACCTCAGGGAAGCAGAAAGACATTGAGTATAAAATAACAGTTCCTAAAAACTGACCAATTTAAAAAGTCAAAGCATAAATTAACAAAACGCTACAGTCAAATTTGTTTCAAAAAGATTGTTACAGGTAATAAGTAGGCAGCAACTGTTAAAAATCGTTACATTTTATTTCAAATAAAGTTACTCAAACTAAACACTGGAATTAAAAAAAAACAATAAATGTGCCTTTAAAATCTGACTTTCTTTTAAGACTTTATACAAATTTTTAGCACTGAAAACCAAATTTTTCTGCATCTGTGTGCGTGCGTGCATGTGTGTGTGTGAATGAGCAGAAGGTAGAAAAGGTCACAGGAGGTTCACAATAAAATATGTGTGTACTGTTTGTGTAGCCTCACCTCTGAATTAACAGCCTGCAGGCTTTAGCCATTTTGTTTTGTTTGTTCTATTGATTTGCCAGGGACAAAAACACTCACTCTCCTTCACTGCAATTTGCAACTGTATAGGTTCAGTTACAGCAATTATTTTAATGCACATTTTGTTGAACTGTTTCTAAAAGGCTCATGGGATAAAGTGGTGGTCATAGCACAAATATTAGATATAGGCTATCTGTAGTCAAAAAGCATCAAATTATATAACAGTGATGCATCGTAAACAGACCCCCACAAATCCAATACGTTGGATTTTTGTTTGTTTTTTCTTTCTCTTTAAAATGTGAGAGAGCACTCTTTGGTGAAGGGGAGTAATGTTCCATATTTCCTGATGAGCAGCAGAACAGGCCCTTGTCAATAATGTGCCTCCCATCTCGCCTCCTGTAAGCTGGTGCGTCAAACCTTTTAGGCGGATAAATTTAACTAAACATCACTAAATTATTGTTTGTTGTTATAAAATGACGCAACGTTGTTGAGAAGGAAGTATTTCTTGAAACTGCTCATAGAAAGTTTGAATTTTCTAAGGAAGAAAGGAAAACGTGTTGCAATACTGTTTATTTTTTGTACTATTTGAAATAAATTGTTCATGTTTTGTTTGTTTGCACCAAGCCATTCTCGTTCACAAGGCACAAACATCAGTAGCACTTCTAACTCGGGAGCATAATCTTTGATGAGAAGTGTCAAAGTAAAATTTAAATGAGTGATTGTTCATTAGCCTGTAGAGAGTGGGTATAAATAATAAAAAAGATTAATTAAGATCTAAAGTAAACACATATTGTTAGTTTGAGAAAAACATAAACCACCGCTTGAGCAACTAAGGTGAATCTTATTTTTCATACGCCGGTGTTTTCTATGCTCACTAAATGGAGCACAATGCTAAGTCGTATTGTTGCACATTTCGTTGGCCCCTTCAAATGCACTTTTTCAGATGCAAATACGGGTTGTCATGGTAACTGTGGGCTTAAACGTAGCTCGCCGTCTAAATGAGGAATAAGAACATTTAAAAAGTAGAACACTCCAAAGGATACAATGAGAACGCGGAGACAGACGGGCAGGGAGGGAGGCAGGGAGAGATCATTTTGCCTTTTATAAGGAATGCTGGGCTATAAAAAGCAGCGTAGCCCTGCGAAGTGGCAGTTGGCTTGGCATCTATCCGCTGCATTGTCCCTCTCCCTGACACACACGGATAAGATCCAGCAACCCTCCCGGCTATCCCTCCTGCAGCTTCTACACACACACACACACACACGCACGCGCACATGCACACACACAAGACGGGGACACAAGGCCCACTACAAAAAAAAAAGGAAAAAAAAGAGAAGTGAAACCTGCTTTAATCTTTAACAGGTTTAATGTCAGGAGGGGTGCAGTAGCGTCCCCTCCAATGACCTCTGCAGTCTGCTCACCGACTCGGCTGTCACCCTGTGTTTTTATCAGAGAGGTGGAAAAGGAAAAGGGAATCTATATCCTCAAGCACACATGGAACATCGATTAGTCTTTTTGTGTCCTTGTTTCACCTGTTCCACGGAGCTGATGGGCTTTATAGATTGGTCCTGGTACATTCAGTACTATACAGAGAGACTTCAAGATGTTTACACGAGATCCGATGATTAGTCATAGATGTACGGATTTGGGTAAATATGAAAACGTGACAGAAAGAAAGCCCCAAATAAAATACACACAAAAAACAAGTACATTTATTTCTAACATATAAAAGGAAACAAAAGCTGAACTAATGTTACCTCAAGGCTTCAGTTAATCTAATACTGAAATAAATTCACTGCAGCAGTCTGCATGAACTGTTGTTGTCATAGATGTCACTCAGTGCATATTTCATGCATGACAACAGGCTACGCTTGGCCAAAAATGATATTCAACAAACAGCCAATACACGTGCTTATCTGCAATTATTTATAATCTCAAAATATTACTAATATTTCTTTAGTAGCAACTTCTGACTTTTCATCTGGATCATTACATCAAACTTGACATAAATCAGAAAGAAGGAGCAAGAGGACATGATGTTCAGCACCACGGACAGAGACAAAAACTCATGACTCCTCCAGTTACTGTTCTTGTTCATGTTTCCATTATGCTGAATTGTGTGTGCGTGCGTGCGTGTGTGTGTGTATGCGTGTGTGTGCATGTGTGTGAAATGGTTTTAGGGCTTTAAGATTTCTCTAAAGTGTAATCCAAATACCCCTAAGCTATCAATTCTGACACACAGACTTCTGCTTATGAAGCAATTTTGTCTCTACTTGTAGCTTCTTTAAATGTAAAAGTGTGTTATTTTAGTTCATCGGCTACCGGTAATCCTCCTATAAGCAAGTACTAGAAATGATTTTGCATAGTTGCTGAAATATATTCTCAATTTAATATGCAATATTTTAAGGCCAATTTGAGAAGAGTATTTTAAATTAATGATCTGGATTTTCACTGCTTTTTTATGTAAAGAATTCAGTGATTGTAGCTTTGGCAAATGCCAGTAAAAACTTATGCTTTTTTTTTTTATTTTGAGCACAATGTTCCACAAACATAAACCTAATCCTCAACCCCAAGAAAATCAGAACAAAAGCAAACTTTAAGAGGCTGCTTAACACCGCCATCTTTGTTTTTTGGTTACAGTTTGAGTCAGTTTGATGTTTTTGGGTTTTGACTGGCTTCAAAGCAACGAATGCAAGGACGTTTTCCTGAACATGTATCATTTCAAGAAATGTCTTACTTTCAGTGGAGAAGACCTGAACACCTTGAAGCTGATGTAAAAGTGGAGCAGACAGAACACAAAACTATCTCTAATCCATGAACATGAACATTACAAATGTATTTCAGTTTTAAGTACACATTTCTGTACATTTGTACTCAAATGTTTCACATTTTTTTGATTGTCTTCTTTTTATCTCAAGTTAAGCACTTTGTATTTACCTCGTTTTCTGCAAGAAGTGTTTAAAAAATACAGACTCTGGTTTCCATGAAAGCTAAAGAGACCGCAGCTGGGTTTCAGGTGACTGATGACGTAGCTCATAGCAGGTTTGTCTATTCCCTATTAACAGTCAGATTCCATTGAATGAAATAGAAATGTTTTCGAAACTTGTTTCCAAAACAAACAAACAAAAAAAGAAATTGGAAGACAAACAAGTCAAAGTGGGCGCAAACAGGGAGCCTACTGCGACATGTGGCCCCGTGCTGTCGTTGGCACCTCATGATAATGAGGAGGCTATCAAATGGACCGCCGCTGTAAAGCGGGGAGACACAGTTGCCAAGGTAGGATGCTATTAATATCAACACATTAGATCAATGCGTCGAAAAACGCCAAGCAAAAGGAGCAGTTCTCGTCCGCAAGCCCTGCAAAGTTTGGACGCAGCTTCAGTTTTCTTCTCAAATGACAACAGTTGATTTCCCTGAAGATCTTTTGCGTGTTTCGGAATGTTATGCAACAGATAACCATGCAACTGAAGAAAGTGGACATTCAACTTGGGGGTTTGCGTCACCGCTGCTAAGTTTAAACAAATCGCTGCTTGAACAGATTGTTTTAGTGCAGAATTGACACAAACAATCTGTCTGGATGACGCAATTACGTAAACCCACGTCAAGCGAGCCAAAATTGCAATTGCTTGCGTGATACTGTTTGTATAATAATAACGGTGTTTGCGGTTTAGTCGGTGTAATTGCTGAAATTATCTAAAAAAAAAAAAAAGTTTAAAGATACCAAAACAAACCCATCCAAACTCTCGTTTCTCCGATCAGTCTCCTACCTGCTTCTCCAAGCATTCCTTCGCTGACAGAGACGGTTTCGGTGACGGAGCCCGGTCACAGACGCATCCCTCCAACAGGTACAGTCCGGAGGGACGGGAGCTGGACTCGTTCTCGAAATAAAACATCATATTCTGCAACAGGGCGAACCATTTCGAGTGCCATTTTGTGTTGTCTGAGCTTTTCTTACTCAAGAAGCCTCGCCTCGTCCCGTCCTTCTTCGCCAAAAGGGCCAAATAGGTGATGTGGCCATCATTGAGTCTCATCCCTTTCTGCATTTTGGCTGGGAGTCCGTGAGGCTCGCCTGCGGATTCTTACATCTTTCTTCAGACTCCGCACCTCCGAAGCACAGTCAGACTTGGTGGGCACCTTCAGCCCGCTCCCGAATTCCCCTCATCGCTTCTTTATCCCCCCCAAAAAACTGTGGCGCTGAAGGGAGAACGAGAGAGAAACTGATGCGCGCTCAGAGTCACAGAGGCGCATCCAAACCGCTCGAAGCTCTCCACGCTGCGGGCATACTACGGAGGACCCGACGCCGTGTCAGAGCAGCCCTGCCTTGCCATGCGCTCATGACGAGCCACTGAGCTGCCCGCGTGCACGACAGCGCGCGCGCACACTTAGCAAGCTTCCAGGAAGCGCAGTCATGTGATCTGTGCCCGGGGCTGCAGATTTCAGCACCTTGGACAGAAATTAGATGCACAGATTTAGCCCCACCGTATTTTCAGTCTTAGTCTAAAAAGACTTAGTTTTAGAGCATTGCAAAAATACAGAATTACAAATCAGAAAGCAAAAACTGATGTACTGAAACGCCAGAAAACTTAGTAGAGCTATTTTTTTTTTGTCTTTTTTTTTGTTGCAAAGTGCCTTGCAAGAGCATTCATTTCACTTGCATTGATCCATTGCTCTGCTTGAAGAGGCTATGATTAGAAAATGGTCTTGCAATGATTCAGTCAAAGTCCAAGCTGAACTCTGATCAAGACTAAGGGGCAAAACTTAAGTGACCTTCATTCTCCATCCACGCTGACATAGTTCAAGCTACAATTTAACTTTCTAAATGTCTAAATGGCCGGTACAAACAAGCCCTAGGACATTTCCAGCTGTGAGTTCAGTAAAATGCGGGGGCTGAGTACAAGTTTATGTCATATTTTATATACTTATATTAAAAAAATTGTATGATTTGCTTGCTTTGCATTTGTATTTGAGATGGAATACATGCTAGTTTATTTTTAAATTCAAATAAAACAGTGGTTCACAATGACTGGCTGTCTAACATTTTTATAGGTTTTCAAGTCATTTGTATTAAACTCTTGTCCATCTTCATTTTAAATTCACTCTCATTAATATCCAATGTGAAAACAGCTCAATGCAATTATTTAGATTCCTGAGACTTTTTTTTAAACCTGCTACTTAAATAAATAAATAAATGTTACATCTCGCTGCATAAAATAAAGTTGATTATATTTACATTTACATTTAGCTGCACAGAATTTAAGAGTTTAGTTTAATGTCATTGTACATTAGGAGATTATTTCATGCGTTTATACAATGCAATAAAATTACATTTCTTGCAATAGAAATAAATTAAACTGAACCATATTGATATATTTTAAAATCATCTTTGTCCTTGTCCTATTCGTCCCTTTTTTCGGCAGCACAGAGAGTTAACAAAAGCCTCTCAGTGCTGTCCACTGCTGGTACATTTACATATCTAAGAGGGCCAGAGAGACACTCATTAGGGTTGGTCCATAATTAATCCTGGATTAGCATATTGGGGCAAGGACACACACAATGGTTTGTTTCATCACAGGGTGTTTCATGGTGGGATCACAGCGCTGTGTCTGTGTGGGATCATTAAAATGATCCAGGGAGGTAACAGGGTGTAATTGAGTGAGATTCGACTACACTAGTCACTGCTCTTTTCATTCAAAATAAGAGCGTACCCTCCACTTTTAAGTGTCTTGTTTTTCTTTCCTTTGGTATCAGGTGCAGCGAAGAGTGGAAGGGATGTGAAGAAGATGCTGGAGCTGCAGTTAAGCTCCACAGAGGCATTAAAAGCGTCGGGTCTGCCATGATGCCCCAGGCTCAGTTACGTTGCAGAGCTTCTTGCTAATCATCCAACAATCAGTCCCCCAGACAAAATTGGTAATGAGGCGGTGATTCTGTTCCATGACCGGCACTGATAGTAAGGATTATTTTTATGGTTTCCTATTATAGGCAATGTAAAAATGGAAAGTGATGCAGAATATGGTCGAGACGGTGCAGAGATGACATTTTGGGAAAGGTCACAAAGTGGATTCAAGCCCATGAAACTGTGGCCAATCAGAGGATGTCTCTACAGGAGGGGTGGGGGATGGGGGGTGATTTTAGGCCTATTGTGCAACAGGATTTTAAGGTGTCCTTTCTGGGTTTCTGGGTTGCTTCAATATGTCAAGCCAGAGTTTTTCATCAACAAAGAGACAAGGGATAAAAACGGGTTTAATGGAAAATGTTGATAAATTGTTTATTTTAGCTGGATGATATTTTTAGCCTCTTCAGAGAAAAATATTTAAAGAATCCCTCTGGTGTTATATACAAAAGCCTTAAACATACTGAAGACAGCTGCATGACTCCTCAATCAGATACAGTTGCAGTCATATCTCTGGGCACAGATAAAACCAACCATCTGCTCATCAGGAGATCTTTTAAGGTCATGGGATGAAATATCTGCAAAACACTGAACCCCTACAACTGCAATAGGTGTGCTTGTCGGTTCAAATAGGCGGTGCTGGATCAGGTTTAGCTTAGCCTGGGGAGAGTTCGGCAGTCTAAAAGATGACAAAAAAATAATATAAAAATTTTAACTTCTAATGCAAGAACAGTTAGCTCCTATTATTGCATTTAGTTTTAAATTATAGCCTACAATCCCAAAGTTGAAGTGTAAGTGAAGAATAAAAGAAATTGTACCCAATTTCCAAAGGTCCAGATTTTTTGTTTTCTATATTTTGATTAATTCCTTTTGATTTTCCCATAATGTCACATGTTTGAAGTGTTGCCTTAAAATGTTATTGCCATTTATAGCTCACATGTTGTAAATAAACCAACTGAAAAATTACAAAGCCATAACATGATCATTATTCTGGCATTTAGCAAATGAAAATGATTTTTACTCTCCTGACAAGAAAACTTTAGTCTGATTTAATATCACAGTGACAAAAAATGGCAATGTGTCTCCATACGATGAAGAACACAAAAAAACCTAAAGCAGAATATTTGTTCACAGCATGAAATCTAATACACAGTACATCCTGTGATTTATATTTTGTTTCCCTTCTTGCCCTCCCTGATGGCGAGCTGATTCTTGTCGCCAGCTCTGGGCTTTGGCTGCAGCTCGACACACTCACACTGTGTGCCAGGTACTGCATGCAGGGTCACCACCTGTCTGCTGCTTCCTCCTGCTCCTCAGAGCCATTAGGGATAGGAAGCATGGATTTTAGACAGGGGAAAAACACAATCACCAATTTTACAAACAAAATACGTTTAATCTGCCATTGATATGCTAAACTTCAACCACAGTTGTTCATCTTCAATGTTTTTTTTTATCTTTAACATTGCTGAGAAGATGCCTAATGATCCCATTTTAGCTAAATCAATGGTGGGTTAAAGGATTAGAGCAAGGTTTTCTAACACATCCACAGAGAACATTAAAAGCAATTTATTTCACTAGGTTTGTTGTTTTTATTAGCACAAGGGCTGGGATTTAATGCAGAAACTTTCCATCTCTACTTGAACTTGAGCTGTTGTAAAGAGGAATAAGCAAACATTTAAGTGTCTAGACATGCAAAGCTGATTGACACACTTCAAATCTTGTGGATGTAGCTGAAACAAAAGCAGGTTCTGTATTAGTATAGACCTTTACGTCACTCCATGCTACTTCGTGTAGCACTAAGCAAAGAAATCTGCACCTAAACCATTTAAATTTTGAGATTATTAAAACATAAAAACAGAAAACAGTGGAACATTACAAAGTGAGCCTCACTATCTTAATATGAAAACATTTAGTTGCACTAATGCAGCTGATGAGATGATTTTATGACCTGAAGACTCCCCAGGTCTTAAACCCTGAGCTTCCCCAAAACCCCACCAGATCTGTTTTCTACCAGGTGCCATTCCCACCACACCGCAGCAACAAATGGTTGCGCCACAGATATATGCTAATGGCATGCAAAAGCAATATTGCTGCTCTGAAGGTGAGGCATATTAATGAAAGACAACGCATCATAATCAGACAGGGGAGCTCTTAGTCCTCGACAGGCTCGCTGCCTCATCCTCAAATGTTAGCAGGGGTCAGCGAACAGCACATCGTCCAAGACATGGTGGCTTAACACGTGGATCTGAGGACACATGCATGAAGAAGGAATTTGTTAAAGACGTCCCTTACATATCCTGTCCAGTACTGCATTAATACAAGCACATGCATAGTCCCGGCTGTTGGTGACAGAGGCTGACTCATGAAGACATGTGTTCATTATTATAATGCAGTCAGTGAGGAAGCATCTGCGGATATTCATATTTTTGATCACATTAATATATGCAGGGTTTTTCTAGACTCTCCGTTCTTCAGCTGTCTTCTCAGTTCACGTCAACTAAACAAAAAGTATAATTTATGCTTTTAAGCATATGAAAGTAAGGGAACGGGGTCAACAGAAGGCCATTACAGCCAACTACAACAGCACAGAATTCAAAGACACAACAGAAGGAGAGACTTACCCACAATGCAATGCAAAAAAAAAAAAAAAACTCCTTCACAGTTTATGTGATGCAACTATAGAATAAATCTCATTGGACAGATGAGTCTAAATTTCTGGCCACCATTAATTATACTAAATTCAGTTTCATCTACAATAACTTAAATAAGCCTTGAACCGGATGTTGTTTGACTTTGATTTGAAATGTGTAGTTTATCCCAAGTTCATCAAGAGAAGATCATTGAGGAACCACTAGAGGTCGCTGTTCAAACAGGGATTTGAGCTGGACTTAAAGGTAATCTATCTAGTTGAGGGTGATAATTGACAGAGTTTATTCTACTTAACTAAAATATTCTGAAAATGTTGCTTTATGTTTGCTTATGTCTCGTTCAATATATTATTTGCACAGATAGGACATAAGTTTTGTTTTGTATTTTCCTCCAAACTACATTCATTCATGTACATATGAGAAATTTCAGTTATTTTTACTACGCTAAGGAGAAATCCAAATTAGACAACATTTAATTATAGTATACATGTTATCAAATACAGTTAGAATTATGACATTTTTGCTTTTTTTCTAGAGTAAATAATCCTGCCACAGTGGTTTCTCACTATTTACAAGAATTCTGCAAAAGGCTTGAATGCAGTTAAACTGGATTTGGGCATCTCCTACATTTACATCCAGCTGTTTTATAGCATTTTGGCCTTGTAAACTTGCTTGTAAATTTGCTTTTTTGCTCCAAATTTGAGCAACATTCATGTTTTTGAATAGTTCCCTCTGTTGCATGGTGATCGAGTGTGTTTACATTACATGCCTGAAGCATTTCCCTCTGCGAGCTCAGCTG